GCGCGCTACTTGGCGAGAAAGCGATATTCATACACGACATTGAAACCAAAACCAACTCGCGTGTACGATTCCCTGATAAGGAGACGGCTTCAGATGTAGTGACGATTTTTGGTCCCGAGAGTCAGGTTCAGATTGCTGCTGCGATGTTGCTCGTACGTGTTCTTTGCTATGCTGAGTTTGGTGCTGACGTCAAAGCAGGAACACGTCCCCTTCGAAGCAGACATGGCAGTCCCGCCCAGCGCTGATCTTCCCAAAGTCTGCGCATCCGCCGACTTCATAACATTTGTGGAGCGCATCAAGCGCGAGTTCCAAGTGGTCATCACCCCGAACGTCAAAGCACCTACGCCGAGCCCCACCAATGGCGCCTCCGCGTCGTCCTCCAGCGCAGTCGTGGTCGGGGACGTGGGCGAGTACTCGTTCAAGTTCCATTGTCAGAGGAGCAATTCGGATTTCTTGCTTGCAGCAAGGGAGCTGTTGGAGCAGTTCTTACTGAACCACAATGTCCATGTGTACCCGTCGCCTACGGCACATACGCATAAACGGGGTGATTCGTTTGCGGAGGCGTTCCCGCACTTTGATAGCAAGGTGTTGTCGACTGCGAGGAGGCATGGTGAGCGTCTTTCGCTGTTGTTTTTATTATTATTTAGATGCTGACAATTATCTTTAGAATCCGTTGAACTTACCCGTTCGGAGATACTAGGTGATCGGAGGTTGAGGATGGCAAATTCATCGCCGGACGTAAAAGCATTGTTCAATGCTCCTGCATACATATACGATCTAGAGGAGCATGAAGACTCTCAATCAGCATATGGTCCGCCAGGAACGGGCCTTGACTACTGGACACCGCTACCCCCGATCGTAGGTCCCCTATCTCCGATCCCCACACCCTTAATGACACAGACCCAGGGCACGGGGATTGGTACACGACGAAATACCGAAGATGCGCTCAAGCGCGGGTCAGACTCGCTGCTCGAGTCAAAAATTAAGGAACAGATCAGCAAGCCCCGATCGTTGCAGAACCGGGCACAGTCGCTCGACCTCACATATTCGCTCTCGCGCATCACAGAGGCGAGTAATAGGCTGCCGCAGCCTGAGTCGCCTACGACGTCGACGGGTGGAGGCACGGGTGGGGATTCTAGTCCGACGAGTGCTACGGCGCCGTCGTTCCCGAGCGTATATGGTCCGCGGTCGTCGGCTGTCATTGGCTCGTCGTCGCAGCGTGCTGCGATGAGGAGTGATGCTGATGTTGTTGATGAGGTTTCGAGGGTGATGTCGAATCTCGGGTTGTAACTGCTGCATCTGTATCGTTTTTTTTCTATTTTGTTTTCTTCTGCTCTCGCTCGCACGCGATCGCAAAATCAGCGTCGGTCTCTCAGGGACTATCCAGGATCTATTCAAAATGTACCAGGAGATCTTCTCTACGTTCCCTTCCCACATCTCGCACTCATCATGACTGATATCACACAATCGAACCCACATTCAACGATGTTGTTTTTTTTCCTTGTCCTTTCTTACCTACAATCATCGATCTACTTGTTTATCGGTTCCGCTGCTCTGTGTCCTATACGTGGTTGCTGCTCGCTCGCTCGCGGGTTCTTTGTACATTATATCGAATGATATTTCTACAGTAGTGGGCTGGTCATATTGTTATCCTTCCACTAATAGAACTATTTAACTTGGTCCTCGGGGGGAACATTGATTATTAGAGCACGATCCATGGTACCTCGTACAAGACGAAATCAAAGAATTCCTGTTCCATCAAGGACTGGTACTCTCCTGCGAACTCGTCGGCTGTGCCGTGTTTCTGGGCACGGCCCGAGGAACGGGGACTGAGGTAGCTGAGGTGGTTCGTGAGTACTGAAAGGGTCTTCTTGGTGTACTTTGGCTCGGGCTGTGATTTATTGTAAATGGAAGTGAAGCGAGTCCAAGGTACACAACGCACTCTGATAGCGAAGCCAACGTAATTCGCGGGTAGACCGTACCGAAGCACGCTCTCGACAAATAACCGAAGGATCTTTAGATGCAAGAAGATCTGGAAAGACTCAGAGAAATACGTCCGAGATAATCTTAAAAGTTCGGTCTGTAGAGACGGTGAGAACAAGGGGGTTGCTGATGGTGATGGTGGGCTCTTACCCAGAGCTCTTTCTCTGTTGCGTCCGCTACCTCTAGGTCTTCTCCTTCTTTGGCTATTTGTTCTTCTGAGTAAACAAATTCGCGGACGATGAACCTGGTGGGGTGTTATTGCGGGTATGAGTGCGGTGAGTGGACGTACTTGTTTTCACGACATTTCTGGACGAACTGGTCGTGTACGCGTTTGAAGACGACTACGCCGAAGAGGGTGTATTCGCTGTCTGATGCTATGAGTCTTTGAGAAGGTATGTGAGTCTTTGCGCAGAGGTATTGATGGTACATACGATGACGAACGGGGAACGATCATGTTAGTCAGTCGCTCGTACTTTAAGTTCCATTCCTTTACGAGGATTCTGGGGCGAATATTTTATTGCTCAAGTCAACAAGTGTTCATGTAGGAGTACCCACTTTGGTACGGCAACCAGGCATGTTTCCAGGTATTCGGAGTCCTGGATGATGTCCTCTTTGGATACTAGGCCGACGAGGGATCGTATAGAGAGGTTCCCGCTGTGTTGAGGAGTGGTTAGCGCTGCTTGGAGGGCTATGTGTTAGAGTTCATGCTCACGTTTTCTTACGCTGCATCTGAACTAGGGAGCCCTTCACGAGATTGTAGTTGTTTAGTTTGGCCTTCATCACATTGTCTATGGACGCCATTTCCTTGGGCGTAAATGAGTACCTCCCCTGCAGGAACGATGCACGGCAAGTACCTTATTCAGGATATCAACCATTTCCCGCAGACTTCGTTGTACCCCGTATCGACTTTCGTTCCATTTCCAACCCCCAAGTAGGTAGTAGTCGACGGTGCGCTCATTTACAAGGACATGTTGGGCAAGCTTGGCCGGGTCGTTGTTCAGCAAGTTGCGGAGTGTATCCACAATCTTTGCGACTGTCGCCGTAAAAAACGCGTCTTGTTTTGGCAGCTCCTCTGACAAGGCGATCAGGGAGTCTAATGTCCCTGTCTACACGACGATTCATGAGATGCCTGGTCCTTGCCCCGATGAGTACGAAATGAAGACCTTGAATGAGGGAATGCCAAGTTCTGCTACTCCCGTAGACTGAGGGAGCTTGTTTGTGATTTCTGGTAGGAGACCCTCGGAATCGCCGTCCTGCGGTACTGCGATCAACCAAGTGCTTTGGTCGGATGGCATGTCGTACTTTTGGTGAACCGACGGACAACAGTCAGCACCTAATGAGTACCGCCCAATATGGACTTACATGGTGAAATCAAGTGTGGAAATTCAAAAAATTATTCTTTAAATTTCAACTGCCATGTTGCTGGCCTTGCTGACACGGAATGGCGTGAATGCAGCTGGGAAACGCTTTCCGATTACTTCCTTGACGGTGAAGAGGGCCTTTTCAAGATCAATGTCGACGCCATTGTTGTTATCACCATCGCAGCTGCAGCAACTGCTTCTTTCTGAATCTCCTACTGATAGTGCCACCAAACAGGTATCGATCTTGGACTCTAGCTGGTTCATGCCCAATTCGCCGCGGAAGGCCAACGAAGAATTTCAAGAGAAGCGCATCCCTGGTGCACAGTTTTTAGACCTGGATGAGGTGTCCTCTCCCCATGAACTCGGCCTTAAACATATGATTCCGAGTGAACGTCGCTTTACCGATGCCTGCGGTATGACCAACTGCCTTGGAGACTGGAATGATATTGCCTAATCCTCTTTTTTTTCCACAACAGAGGAATTCGGAATCGACCCCACTTCTCATGTAATTTTGTGCGCTTTCACACTTCTCCCATCAAAGCATACTTTTGAACTATATTATTGCGCAGATATGATACGCATGGAGTATTTTCATCACCACGTGCACTCTTCATGTTTAGAGCGTTTGGCCACGAGAAATCTAGTGTCCTCGACGGAGGTCTGCCACGTTGGGAGGCAGAGGGTTTTCCAATTGAGGCTAAGCCGCCGGTTCGTGCAAGGAAATCCGTTTATCCCACTCCTGTCTTCGATAAGGGAATGATACGGTGTGAGTTGACTTCATGTTCGCTATCCTCCAATGTCGTCCAAGCTTGCGGCCTCCAACAGCCTACGATCAAATGGTGTCAAACTCATTTACGGATCTTCACTCGGACTCAGCCGTCGAGCTTGTTGTTGACGCTCGTTCCCGTGGTCGGTGAGCAGACTAATAGCGAACTTCACGGACGAAGCTTACGGCTCCTTACGCTCGTAGGTTCCTAGGCACAGAGTCAGAACCGCGGGCTGGCTTATCATCCGGTCACATTCCTCATTCGTTTTCCCTGCCATTCACTGCATTCCTGCAAACTCGTACTATTCCTAATTCTTCCGTGCAGTACTCCACCTTCCTATCCCTTCCCGAATTACGGAATGCATTAGTGAGCCACGTAGGCGATCACGCGGAAGCCGTCATCCAAGGAAAACGACCAATCACCACATCTTGTGGAAGTGGTATGACTGCGGGGGTCCTCTGGTTGGGACTGAAGTTATTGGGTGTCCAAAATGTGGCATTGTATGATGAGGTGAGCCATGATCTACCCGAGATTTTTTGCAGGTTATTAATATTTGCCAGTCTTGGACCGGATATGCGAGCCGGGCATCTAGCAAGATCGAGAAGGCGGCAAACTGAATTTTTCCATTTTTGATCCATGCCACAAATATCGAAGACCTTGAAATGTGTTCGTATCGAAATCAAGTATATGCCATTGTGCTGGTACGTCATATACATGAACTACTAATGTGGTGCTACATAACTATCTTCTATCCCCATGTTTCCCTGCTATTAGTATTGACCTAAGGTATACAGTGATTTGCCGAATCCTCTCGGCTAAGAATACATTATTCAATGATGACCCATGCTGTCCGTGGATTAACAACAAAATTTTCTCAAAATTCCGGATGACGATCTATAACAGTCATTAATCCCTTGATACCTTTGGCTGCTTCAATTTCAACAGGTCTCTGTGCATCAGGCCAGCATGATCGAGCCACCGTGGCTGAATAATGAATCTATAGGAAGGATCGATCTTGTTACTAATTGACACGGAACGGAACACTCACTGTGACCTTGAATTGGTCGCGGCGCTGGTATCTAGGATGCCGAATCTCGCAGTCCCATCTAATGGCGTAGGTTAGCAGCGAATGGAACAAAGATAGAGGATGTGCTGACTTTTCTTCCAGGAGAACATTACCGCCCATCTCCTTTGCTGTCGAATACAAACCCTTACGAGCTAGATTGACGAGTCTTCCAGCATCAACACCCCCTTTGCAGGTGAACTCGTCCTTGTGTTCTACTCTGGGACCAACGATTGCTGGTTTCAAATCTGCTAAACATGGGTGTGTGCGCGCCGGCCCGGACGAGCTCTCGACGCGTTCTGTCTCCAGTGCATGACTTTGGGGGTCGTGATGTATCTGTATACCAAGATGATTATGACAGAAGTCGGATAAGACGCGGTTGCAGACTCGGACCATGAGAGTTGGTGGAGAAAAGATGTTCTTGATAGTCATAAAGACTGAGAGAAGTAGGAGAGCAGTTATTTGAGTGTTGATAGTTACGGCGCCATTCTGTGACGCGGTTGGATTATATACGTGCCAGAGGCCGAACTGAATTATGGCTGGTTTGGGCCTTTCCGCTTTCCGAGGTGTCCCACTGATGGCAAGAACCCTACCACGAGGGGCCACCAAAATTAAGAGTTTACATTTGCAAATTGCTTGAGGTAATACACGATGAATCGTTGATACCCCTTAGTCCTCTGGGATCGTCACATCTTGCGAAGACCTTCATTTCTGGATATGGTGCGTCATGTTCCTTACGACCAGCAGGCGTGTAGAGCAAGGATGTACGAATTAGGATGTCAAAGATGTGGTAGGACAGCATGAGGCAGAAAAAAATACACGATGGGATAAATATATGATGGCCTGGACTCTCGGCGGCAGATACAGTTGTGGACAATAAATTACGAAAAAAGATGCTGCGACTCCAAGACGGCCATGAACGGTGGAGGGCGGAACGGTGGCGCTTTGCCTGACATGTATGCTGGTCGTCCTGCATATTGTACCTCTATACGATGCGACTTTCCCTTGCGATAAAGAGTTAGCGTCCAGCTGTCATTGAAGGTGTAATCAGGCGACTTCTAAATGCCGTATACACTCGAATCACTCACCCTTCCAACAATAACATGTTGTAACCGTTCTTCACAATCTCTTGAAACAACTGTTGCCTGGCGAAAAGCACCGCTCTACAGTAATCAGAACCTTGGGGTGAACGCTTCCCGAGGTCAAAGATGTATGTGCCACACGTGTTCGTATCTGTGACACGCAAGATATCGAGCTCTGGGATGGGGAGTAGCTTGATGGGAAATGATTCACAGGCCCAGAACCAAACCAACGCACCATCGCCATCATCGATCATTGGCACAGGATCGATACACTCGCAACCGACAACCTCCCAAGATTGCTCGTTCTTTCGACAGAACCACTTCATGGCTGCGGCGAAGAAGGTCAACGTAACCCCGATGCCTTTGACAGACGCGCTAACATGAGGAAAACGCTGTTCGGATTGATATAAGACCTTGCTCGGCACTGCCACTCGGTCGGTAAGGGCGCTGACTGCGCGACAGACGGCTAAGCATGAATAAGTCTAGCTGATTTCGTCACGGCTCAGATAAGATCAAATGAGGCCGAGACAAGGCGCTCGAAGCATGATGGGGCTGTCATCACGAGATAGGAACCTTCACTGCATCTAACGGCCCGTTTCTTGGGAGTAATTCTTCGAACATGTCATGCTGATGAGTGATACTGATATCGGATCCCCGTGCACGAACGTTTGAAGCGTCATTCGAATTTGAATGCGTAGCCGAGGACGGGTGCCCAGTGAATATCCGACCATGCCGCAGGGTTGCGCAAGATCTTCTCGGGCAGTGCTCGGGCATGTGATTCTCATACGAATGAAGCCAGAATTACCAGGGATTACTTTCGACGAGATTGCTTCGATATGAAAATTTCGCATACTGCCGGGAATGAGAGGCACGATAAGGTGATCATGATTATACACCCTGGACTGACACTGGTTTACAGAGAAGAGCACTGGATCCACTCGTCCAAATAGTAGAATCAAACCGCGGAGCTTGGATAAAGGGCTTTTAAGTTTTATATAAAGCCTGAGAGTCTGAGAAAGCAATGACTCGCTCGCCGACGTTGTTTATATCTGTTAGGTTCGGAGGATGCAGTCACGGTGGGAGCTTCAAAATGACCGAGACTTTAAGTACCGCGGTGCTACAGGGTATTACGGTACTTACTTACTATCCACCAACAGGGCCTCGTGCATTAAAAATTGCTTCAGAACAGACTCATCTACCTTATCTATTCTCCGATTCCTAGTACCGACTCATACATGAGGCACACCGACAGAGGAAGGCGATCAGGGCACAGCGGCAATTTCGTGCTGTTTGACGTTTTCTTCGATAAAACTTATCAGAACCGACATGCTGCACCAGAACGCGGCGACAGGCAAGACATCCTCGTTCTACATTATGCATTTTTGCTGAGGTATTCTCACACGTTGGAAGGTGCTCTACGTACCTCGGCCTCATTTTTTGCGCGGTAAAATCGAGGGAATGATACAGTCATTCGGTATCATGGACCGAAAGTTCCTGGACCTATAATCTCGGTGGTCAGTGCTTATATGTGTGATATTCCGATGGTACTAATCAACGGCAACTTCAATATCTATCGCTTGTCGGGACAATGCAGGATATGCATGCTTATGATCTACAGTGACTTTACGCTAGTGAGCTCTTTGCCGCGGCTCCCGGAACGGGAAATGGCTCCACCATTTGTTTTTGTTCATGGCTCTGCAGCGGTTCAACGATTTACTCTCTTTCGCGTAAGGCCAAATACGGCGGTATGCCATCCTGATTAAACGTGGCATATCGGTAATCCTCCATGCTCCACTTCGCCAATCATGCACGCCATCGTGTTGGCACAATCTGCAATACCCGAGGCACACAAAGTAGCCTTATCTTTGCCGAGGCCCACCTGGACAATTTTTTTCCGGTCAGTCGATAAGCCCACAGATACACCACTTGCAACAGCCTTCCTGCAAATTTATGCTCCAATCCGTGTCTACTCGCAGCGGTTGGTGCGGTGCTGACCTCTGCCTGACCAACTTGATCGTTATGAATTCCCCGACATCAAGTGTATTCACTCGCATTTGGTTATATTCACCGTGACATTTGAAATATCGTTTTAAGCTCCAGCTTTACATCATCGCCTTCAGCGTCGCATCCGCGCTGCAACTATGATCACTGTCACCGCATGCCAAGGCAGACCCCTTATCGCTCGCCTTGGTGTCAAGTAAAGTCGGCGGGATGACATGTGGATGATCGTTTACGTCCTTGAGCTCGTACTATGATGTGTTCCACAACGTGGTCCGTTCATTGGAGTTCTGACTATTGGAGGAGAATACAGAACCATGAATATGTTCGCAAATCTAATCTTGCAGTTCAGAATGAATACTCCTCCTAATTAAGCACCCTGTTCTCGAGTGCCTCTGCCCAGCAATTTTCACGCGGTTGTTGTCTCCAGATCGCGCACTGAATCGCTGAACCCCCTCTGAATCGCGCTGATTTGTCTCTGAATCGTGCACTCCAACTACCACTAATAGATGCGCAGTAAGTAAGTAATAGTGAAATGAACCGGATATTACGATTTAACGCAAATATGTGTACGAGAATCAAGCGAACTGCACGCTCCTCACGACAAACTAACTGCCTTCTGAAATGCCGTCCCTCATCGTATCATCATCCCGATCCCAATTCCCAAACACAAACTGCCCATCATTGCTATCCTGACCTGGCTATCTGCCAACTTATCGACAAAGGTAGAAACGCTCCTGCTGAGCAATCTCGTCGCAGGATCAAGGAGGCACAAAGAGAACGAAATTAGTGATGATAAGTGCAGTGGATCAAAGCACTGCTGCTCTGGAACCCTCACGGGGTCTTCGCGCTCGCAAGAAATAGCGACATCTTGGGACAATCGAGATTCCCATTCTGCTTCCCATTTCGCCTTGTTCCATAAAGGTGCGTTGGAGGACAGGGAAACGGTTTCTCGATGCGATGCGTTTATTCCCTCTACGGCGCACTCGACTTCACGCCAGCGAAGGAAGCGCTCTGCTGCCTCAAATCGTAGTGAAGAAAGCGTCTCTGGTGAGCGAAAAAGGCCGTTTCGAAGAGCAGTTGTTGAACGTGGCCTGAATGAAGACATGTGGGGGCGCGAAGGGAAATGTGTATGATCTGGACCACGACGCATGAGTATGACAGGGATATGTGGAGTAAGTAAGTCGATGGGGCCGTCCTCAGAAGTAGACGGGCCTGTATAATGCAAAAGTCAGAAGTAGCAGCCAGTGCATGGAACTGATATTCACCTGAGCTGGATAGGATAATGAGCGCGGTATGCAATGGCGACCACGGTGATGCAATTAAGTTAGCCAGAGCAGCAGATGCCTGACATCGGGGATCAATTAATTCAGATACTGAGTGAAATGGCGACTGGATAACAGGTAATATGGAAGATTTCGTTAACTGGGGGGGAGGTTAACTTGAATCGAGTCACCATGCGTATTATGACGTACATTATCATCGAACTCGTGTCGTGCGATGGATATTATCTCGACATTCTTTGCAGGTTCGAACTTCTCAAGTCCGTGGGCATCTCGATGCTCGATCCAATCTGTGGATGCTCTTAAAATCGAACCGTATTCGAAATCCTCCCATCCACTAATATCCACAACATCTTCGTTGTCGTCCAAGAGTATATTGGATACCAGCTCACGGTCATCGGCACCATTCCCTACGACTAGCAACCTCAGGTCTCCAAGGGTTTTTCCAAAAGGAGTGGGACAACGCAATGGAGCTGGTAGGGTCAGAGACGGTATGATAAGCCCCTGTGTACTAGAGTCCCGTGCATAGTGATTAGACTGAGGCTGGAAGCGCGGTGGACTGGCAGCCGCGGAAGAAAAGAAGAATGAAGAGCCGACAGAAGGTAATGAGGATACCGACTCAGAAGGGCTGTTTGGGGAAGTCGCCAGGGCGCTTGACCGTGGTGATGACGGCTGGGAATGTCCTGGGATATTCTCCAGTACTTCTTGAGGAACGTGCAAAGTTCGTATTGTCGATATGCTAATTGATGGGTTGGATTCCATGGCTAGTAACTAGAGCCAGAGAGCGCTCAGGCTGTAGAAGTACTAGTAATGTTCTCAAGCACTGCTGCTGACGCCACTCTAGAGTACACGTGTTTGGTCTATCTATTACTAGATCACTCATTTTTATTGTCTGAGACAAAAATGGAATTATACAAGATGGAACCAGTGGAACAGCAAAACAACTAGAGTGAAAACAACATATCCTCAATCAAACGTGATAAAGTTTCACCAACAACTCCTCGTCAATTGAGAATGCCTTCGGGTCCTGGAACTGCGACACCTTCCAAACTCCATGTCCTGCACTCTCTCTTAAGACAACATGCTTGCCTTTGTGGTTTCCGCGCAAAACGAGAGCATGATCTTCTACCTCCTCTGGCTGGACAGGCTGAAGGTAGACTGTCGGTACGTGAACCGGAGGGCCCCCTGGCGAATCCAGAGGGTGGAACAGTGCTGTGATCTCAGACAATGACGCAAAGGCTGAGGAGACATAACCCCTCTTGAGCTCCAAATCTCCGTCGAGCCATCCTGCATCTTCCGAGCCTCGGATCTCCACCACCACTTTTTTGTTCGCGATCAAGGGGTCACGTAGCACCAAACCTATTCCTTGTGTAAATAGAAGGCATTCAATTGTTTTGATCATGCGTACCGAAGTCCGAGTCATGGTCATCTTCATTACCCGAAACACCTGGAGTAGGTGCAGACATTGAACCAGGGTCATTCATAATACCTGCTGGTGTAGGTGCACCTGTGTAGGCAGCAGGGGTCGGTGCAGATAAGAACCCAGGGGTTGCCGCAGCAGCTGGCGTTGGTGCGTTCTGATTGCTAATAAGTCCGAAATCAGATTGAAGCTTAAGAGGAACTCACCCAAGACGACCAGCTCGAGTCTGCTGGACGTGCAGGCGATGCACTACCACCCCAGCCGCCTGATCCCCACGATGGCTCACTATAGGGATTCGGTGTCCGCGAGGACGCATTCCATGCCGGAGTTTTACCGCCATCACCACCACCAGCGTATGGATTCGGCGTCCGTGACGAGGCATTCCATGCGGGGGTTTTGCCGCCATCAGTAACATATGGATTTGGCGTTCGTGACGAGGCGTTCCATGCAGGTGTCTTGCCATCCCCACTGGCAAATGGGTTTGGAGTCCGACCCCCCCAACCAGGGGTACGGCTAGCAGTATATGGATTCGGGGTCCGACTGGGCACTCCGGCTGGGGGACCCATATTTCGTTGTTGGCCTTGTTGATGGTAGGGTGCACTAAGTGGCTGAAGTTTGCCATCCGGACTGTAATTAGAGGTAAGCAGGAGAAACACCGACAGACAGCAAATGTCTCACAGTCTCCGATACAGCTTTTGTTTTTCGATGGTAATAACTTTATTACCAGTATTTAGCTCTACGCGCGCCAGGGTACCGTTAATGTCTTTGATGATACCATTGTAACCCTTGTGATTGCCTTTGACGACTGTTATGACTGCGCCAATGTCACGGTCTCGTGGCCCGCGCCCCATTGCACCAGAGCCAACCATGCCACCTTGAGCACCACCAGCAGCGGTGGGATTCATCTTGCCTAAGTCCATCCCTGGCTTGACGAGGTTACCCTTTGGAGCGAGCGATGATAGGGAGCGACACCGGGTTACGAATACGCCGCCATTTTCAATGATGTCCCTGTTGTGTAGGAAGGCGAAGAATGACTGGTGAATGTGCAACACTCGGCCTTTACGAGCCTGTAAAAACGTTAAAACCGCGGGATTGTTAGATGCTACGAGAAGAGACTGACCTCCCCTTCAATCTCCTTGACATTGTCTTGTACACGAAGTTCGTGACCTTCAGAGTCCGTGGCAATGGCACGGTCAGAGTTCCGCCGCATCGAGATTTGGTGAGGTTGCACCAATCGTACTTGACCATTCTGGTCAAGAACACGGAAGGAGTCTCGCTCGGTTTTGAAAATGACACCAACAGTTTGCAAGCTGTATACCAATAATCAGATAAGTACATGCAGGGATGCCGAATGATCGGCTTACTCAAGCTGGACCAAGTCGTGCAATTCGTAGTTGCCAACAACGTTAGTTCCAGAACCGACTTCGGCGGCCTCACGCAGATCTTTGGAAAATACGGAAACCTGCGAGGATATCAATATCAATCAAATAAGAGTTAACGAAACCTCAATTACTTCTTGCATTGACATATCTGATAGGAAAGTCACCACGTTGTCTGTTACCGAGATGACAAGCCCCGTCTCGTCTGCGTTCTGACCAGTCATTACCTTGACATGGTCACCTGGTTTGAAGCGTTTCCGCACGCTGCGCGCAGGAACATCCACCTTCTGACCATCGATATCAACGCCAATAGCTGTGACGGTCACGACATCTTGATTGATCGAATCGACGACACCGTAGACACCAGATTGCTCGCCCTCGAACACCTCGACATGATCACCGGGCTGCAGCACGGCAATGGCAGCTTTCCGTGACGCCTCCGCAATGATCGACAGATCCACCGGATTTTCGTTATCGGCACCATCCTGCCCTCGGCTGAACTTCGTAATCTCGTCCAGTGTCGGGTTGACGTTATCTAGCTGCAGAGCATTAAGCTTGAAGTCCTTCTCGATGAACCCGTCTTTGTATGTATCATTCTGGAAGACGTAAACCTGGTTCCGCTTTGAGACCTGTTTGCGCCCGTAAACTTTGACGACCTCCTCATAGTTGAAGAACCGCTGTGGCGGTCGCATCGTCGTCAATCCAGTACTAGCCTTCTTGCGCTTCCGACCATCAACGTTGGCTTCGTCCCGTGGGTTCAGGTCGATACGCGGAATGAATTTGAGTCCAACGTCCTCGCCGTTCTCTGTGATGTCCATGACCTGTGCAAGATCACCTTGGTACTTGCCACGCTTAATGCGCACCCAGCTTCCGGGAGTCACGGTAAGGTCTTGCTTCTTGATTTGCAGTAAGCTAGCCATTTCCTCGATGGGGACAAGCACAATGCCGCGACTCGGATACACGCCGACAAGACCCTTGCAAGCCTGGTTGACCTGCTGGGCACTCCGAGCTTCGACGTATACCATACCGGGAAGCGAGTCACGTTGGAATGCAGATAGGATCGAGAGAGGCTGAGCGGTGTACTCGAGATCAATTGCTTTCCTCATGAGACTAAAGACGATGTCGCGTTCGCGACCAGGCTGCCACGTAATTCAAGCCTCAGTAATCAGGAAGAATCCCCGAGAAACTCACCTTGACTCGAACTTGCCATAAGCTTGCATCATGCACGGATGGCATCAGCAGGCGCTGCGGTACTTCATTCATGTCTCCCGTGTACCGCACTGCTGCTCGACCATAGCGCTCGTGAAGATTCTGGGCAATTTTAGCCAGATCTTGATCATTCAGCTCCCTTTCTCGCCTGTCCAGCCGCGCATTGACCGCTGCGCGTCTATTCACGTCATCTTCATCGCCCTCCGGCCCAATATCTGCAATAAACTCATCTAGGATAATGAGTTGTTTATGAGAGCATGAACGAGTTAGCAAAATGGCTCATACCTCCACCTGCCTCATCTTCCTCCTCCTCTTCCTCCTCCTCGGTATCGACTTCGGCCTCGACATCAAGGAAACGATTCACAGCACTACGTCTATGCCGGTGCTGCGATAGATTAATACACACAGCGGCGCAGGTCAACAAGGGCACGGACCTTTGCGCGCTTTCGCCCACGGTCCCTTCCAGGTTCCTCATCTTCCTCATCCTCATCATCCTCGTCTTCCTCTTCTTCGTCCTCGTCATCTAATGCGTCATAAATGGATCCTCGAGACTTCTCATTTGCCCTCGGTTGTGACGGCTGCTCATTATCCTCCTCTTCATTTTCCTGTTGAATTGGATCCTGTATGTCGTAGTCATCATCTAGACCGGACATGATGTTGTGGTGAGAAACAAGAGGGAAATTGCTGGTCTAGGTTTGCTGAAGTTGAGCTCAAAACATATCTTTCAATGGACATGGATTAGTCATCCAATATAAATTACATAAGCAAAAGCCGCCAAGATGTTGAGTTGAGTTTATGTAAACTTCAATTCAATTGAAATTACGTGGGCCATTGAGATCTGGCCAAGTGCGTCAGACGGTATCCATACATAAAAGCAGTGCTGAAGCACCCTGCTCGAGAAGATGCCGTTTACTACCCTTTCACAGAGCAGAAAGTAGCATCATCGCCATGCTAAGCACTCCTGCAACGATGATTCCTGTTCCAACTTCTACCCCTTTACCAGCACTGCTCTTAGTAGAAGTCGTAGAAGATGATACGTTCGTGCAACCGGATGAGGCGTTAGCCGGCGGAACCGTCAAGTTAGCAGATAAAGTCAAGTCTGCACACTGTCACAATGTTCGTTTCAATAATCATGTTCATAAAAAAATAAGTGGAAAAAGACTGCCTACCTGGTAGAGATTACCGTCACCGCCATTAAAGAGAACCTGGATGGTAACATTCGCGCCATCTTGAATTCCGGACACATTCACTGCTGCAGCAGCGATATCGATAGGGAAACAGTACAATCCCTCCCCGCTTTGCTGGAAGAATGGAACTACAACCTGATAACCAGAGCTAGAATTAAAATAGCTAAAGTTATTTGGGTCTTGATATGTCGAGATGAGGACCTCCGCTGTATTTGTAAATGATCAACTTCTGCAAAGAAAAAGCGGCTTCCCTTTACCTACCTGTCCACAACGGATGTTCGCTGTTCATGTTGATGATCCCGTTACTAAAGGGGAATACGGTACGGTTATTTACAGCATCGTTGTAACCGTCTACATAAAATCAGATGAAGCAATGTACACAGACCTAGACTATGTTGCGCTCACCACAGAACGTTGGTTCTGAGTCTTCGACGAAAGGACCTCGTGGAATAGGATATTGCATCTGGAAGTGGGCTTGTACAGCTGTGGCAAGGACGGCGGCGGCAGTAATGAAGGGGATAATCATTTTTACGATGATTGAAGAGACTAGACTTGCAAGAAAGAATTCAAAGCCTGCTTCCAGTTTATTCAGTCTGCTCCTTCTCGTATTTAAGGTTGAGGTACGAAAAAGTTTTTCACACTTATTTGCTCTTGTTTTTGAACCGGTTCCTAGGCTTTTCGACCAGATCGGTAACCCATGCATGGGAGCCCAACATTATGATAGCTGGTTCAGATTTAAATTTGCCGGGCATCTCAGGACTTTTCTGGTCTAAGAAATGCTCCATTAGTGAGCTCGATGTTCACTCGCATTTCAGGGTTTCCAGCGACTTACTAATGCAGGCACTTCTACACAGGCTGCCAGCATCAATGTAAGCAGGGTTCCTTTCGTCTCCATTTTCCTCGCGGTCTTCTCCGAGACAGCACATCACGTTCATGTCATTGTATGCCACCGTGGTCATGCACACTGTCTTTAAACAGGTTGAAATCCCAACGCAGGGTCTATCGCCGTGTTCCTGGTCCAGGACAATAATATGCGCCCAGTCATCAGAGCGGCTCTGCACAGGACCGATAATCCATACTAAGTACTGTCCTCAATTCATCTCAGGAGAGGGCTGCTCCCAGGCCACTTATAAATTGGGGGTCTTGGGAGCTTCTCCCAGGTCCACCCCTCCGGCGTAGAATTTTTTCGTCACATGTTGGAAATATTGTCGGCCGAACGGAAATCTAGCAGAACATTTATTGTAGACTCGTTAAACCACATTCAAATTAGTTCATAATAACATTGGCTTTCAATCTTTGACTTTGTCTCGATCGAAAGACAGGAAGTGACTATTATCATTGAATTTGTTGCCATCACCCGGATTTAATCACTCAGTACTCAGTACTCAATACTCAGTGGAATCTGATCATGAAGACTTCGAAAAGCTAGTTTTTAATTCTACCGAAAAAAATGAACCTCCGGAGGGGGTCCCAACAATACCTCTCCAACAGCCATCCCCAAACCACCCCCAAACTGTCCACCCCTGGGCCTGACCTAGGCAGTCCTTAATAAGGGTTATCGGTGGTCCTCTCTGTACTCACGCAAAATCCGCTATCACTGTGAAGATTTGTTGCGTCGTCCAGATATATATATGCATCAAATTCTCCTTCTCTCTTGTCCACTTGGGGGTAGAGACAAACGCGGGTACGTGCAATCACTGTGGTGATGTAGCTCACGACTGGTAACGAAGATCCCGCATCTCGACGCTGATAAGCGCACCCATGAAACCAAAATACTTGTGAAAGACGCATGATGACACTGTAGAAGTCCTGTTGTCAGGCAGCTATTGATCCGATAATACTATAAACCAGGCGGGAGGAACGCATGATAAGGGACCTAAGAAAGAGGTCTGTTTGTAGAACCCAAGTAGTGTCACAATGAGACCGGGTCTGTATGATCGAGCAGACAAAAAATAAAATTTTGCTAAACCATTTTGAGATGCCATCCCACTGGAAGTCCGACTGCCTGTGGGCGACGAACGCATGATCACATAGGATCATGAGTTGATGGATCGGGTTCCCACTGTAACAGATTGCATAGTTGACTGTCCGATTACAAGACAGATATTGAGAGGTGTCCAAAATTAACATGAAACTAGCAACCATAAAGCTACCCTCACACGAAAGCGACTGACAGCAAAGACCCAGTAAGAAAATCATCAAAACAGTGTTCGCTTTAAACTCGACCTCCATTCAAGCGACCAAATCGCCCGAACAGAACTTCACCTATGGCAAGACCCACAACGATGGATATAATATATGAAGCATTGAACGTCCTGATATTGGCTAAGTTCAACTCTTTGGATGGCATACGTTGCGGGACTTACATGACGGCTAACATCAGGGTATACGAAAAGAGTGATTGAACAGCCTGGAATATCCCCCGCGCGATATCGTGCATGGGAATGAAGGGAGGCACAAGCCTCTGGCGACTGCGGACTCTCGCTGAGGTGATTGGAAGAGAGGAAGGTTCTTCCTCGATCGCATCAGAGGGGTCTTTGGCTTTATCGTCGACATATTGAACATTAGTTGAAGTACGCTGCGTTTGCAAGATAAGCGCAAGGGCCCTGCAAAGCGAATTAGCATTGATCATGCCATGTATGTAAGAATGGCTAACATTGACCCCCACTGGATTTCCATTTGACGCCGGAATGCTGAAATCCAGCGTTCAAGAATACAGAATGCGACTAGCGCAATGCAAGCACCGGCGATTGCACCTTTCGACTCAGGCATCCAAGTCTCAAAAATCAAGTAGTCTCCGCCACTGAAATGTAACCAGGGCGTCATCATCATAGTCATCGTCATCGTCGTAGTAGTAGTAGTAGAGTTCATATCCATGATGAATTCGAGAGTTTAAGGTGACTATACGCAGGAAGTGGGAAGCAAAGTAGATGGTAAGAAGACCCACTCCTCGGGGAATACCGAGATTAGGTTCTCAGGCTCAGGGCCCGCTAAATTTGGAGAGCAGCTCAACACCAGATTCCATTTTTTCGATGCCTGTCATGAATCTCGGAAGCTGAGCAGTTGGACGGACAATATATGAGATAAACGCAATGACAGTGCCACGTCAACAGGTAGGTGGATTCGGAGAACAACGCTCACACGTCACGGCCATGGCATTCATGTTACCCCGTGGAACGTACTCGGAGAAATGGGTGAGCTGGCACGAACTGGTCTGCGTATGGTTCGTCCGATCGGTACGACGTCGGCCGTACAACCGTGCTCGGCATGTGCGGGGGAAATGATAATTAACCCGACTGGCGTTGTCCGTGACTACAAAGTGCTAACAACAATGAGCACTGAACGCTGGGAATGGAAACATATTCTCACAGTATCGGTACATGTACCATGCCACAAGAGTGAGCCAGACCCAGGACCTCGAGAGGAATATTGAAAGAGATGACAACAGGCATATAGATCCTTTTCGCAGGTAACCTGAACCATAGAGACGCGGGGACGAGGACAACTGAGACATGATCCCCACAAAAAACATTGAACCCGCAAGATGACAGATAGAACGAGTTGTAAGGCAATGGCACGTCACAGTACAAGCTTGTTGAGGATGACACTCCCACTTGTGCTGCGACGTGTCAAGGAAAGAAACCACAACGTTGGTGGTTCCTTTGAGGTAGCTCGCTCCTAAGACCACACAGGCTCCAAAACTGCTAAAATATGAATATTTATAGCATGGAGGTGGAATTCAGAAGCCCACGGCGCACAGACGGGCATGAGCGATGAAGGCAAGGTGGAGGATGAGGGAATGAAGGAGTGAAGGATAATGTGCTGGCAAAGATTGAAATGAAGGATACGGGAAGACTGCGGCATTTCTGCGACAACCAATAGCAAAAAGAGCGGATTGATCACGTGAATATTTTCTTATTCATAATAGCGCTTACGTAGGTTGGTACTTTATGAGCTTAGCGCCTGGTATTACTCACACCATATAGGAATCAAGGATGCTGCGAACTGCACTTTTCAACACCACCCGTCATGCAGCACGCCCTACGCTACTCGCGCGTCAGGTCGCGAGACCAACCTATCAGATCTTCGCGCGCTACGAGTCGAGCAAAGCTAATGACGCTCTGAAAGCTGCTCGCAAGGCCAAGGACAAGCTCCAGAAGGATTGGCAGGGGCCCGTGCTCACATACGAGCAAGTTAAACCTAGGACCCTCAGTCCCAGTGCAGTACGTCGCACTCTCATATTGTGCCTGTGCCTACCCACTTTCTCACTATCTTTCATAGGACGCCTACCTGATTGACGTGCGTGAGCCCGATGAAGTTATGCAGGGCTCTATTCCGTCCTCTGTGAATCTACCACTCTCGGTACTTGCCAACTCGTTCCACCTTTCGCCTCAGACTTTTAAGGCGCAGCATGGTTTCGAGAAGCCAGGAAAGCAACAAGAAGTCGTGTTCTATTGTCGTAGTGGAATGAGGAGTGCTAGTGCATGTGATATTGCGAAGAGGAATGGATATGAGAAGTGAGTGATCGCAGACCGGCCATCTTGACTGTGCTTTGATACAACGTGCACTCATGTTTCTTTAGCATTTTCAATTATGAAGGTTCGTGGCTAGACTGGACGTCACGAGAAGGAGGAGGCAGGGGGTCTACTACTTCAAGTTAATGTACTTCCCCACATTTTAATAATGCAACATGCATAATACAGCCCTCGAGAATATTTTTTCTTCCATAGCGGATGAAATGAGTTTAAATTGATCTTCCAATTCTCAACCCTGGATGAATTTTGAGAGCGTGGTCGACGTTTCAAGAAGTTCGAACACTTCATTTTTTATTGCTCGTGGTTGTCTAGTGATCCGACCTTCTTGATCGAAGTCGTTCTCACGGTTAGTCCGACCCGTGCTGCTTCATGTTTCTCTGCAACCTGCTTCGACGCATTCCAAAAAGCACGAGCTTGCATTGGCAGAATGCAGCTGCGAATAGGATATCATTGCTAATAAGACATGTCCCATTGACAACGCGGGTTCCGGTGGCGACGCACTTTTACGTGTGCAGACGGACATTGAGCACGCCTGCCCCCATGGTCAATGTCAGGTCCGCTCCCTCCTCCTGCCTCCGTTTCTCCATCCTGCTCAAGATGGTCAATCATTTTCCTATACTGTATGCAGTGACCTATCCATAGAGCGGTATCATGCACTTTCTGACGCGACCATGACAACGTTACTCGAGCGGCTCGAGGATTTGCTTGACACAGTAGGAAACGACGCCTATGAAGTAGATTATCATGTAAGTACGCTCCAAGATACCAGAATTCTGGCCCTGTGGTGGTGCCCTTGACTCACTATCTTTCTTCTGCTGCAGAGCGGCGTCCTGACGCTCAACTTAGGTACCTATGGGACATACGTGATCAATAAGCAACCACCAAACAAGCAAATATGGCTGTCTTCCCCACGCAGGTGGGTCGAATCGTCTGATTGATGATGTTTCACACTGACGCACTTCTTGCTTCGTATGCCTGATTTCGCCGATGAACGTCCACTCCTGAAACGCGAATTTGATAGTGGTCCCAAGCGCTATGATTACGTACCGGAATCAGACGGCTGGCGATATGCGCGAGATGGAATAGGGCTTGGCGAGCTGCTGGATGAGGAGATAACGGATATGCTCCGAACTAAAGTCTCCCTGCATCTAGAGGGTGTGTCTACTCAGATACGGGAGTAGACTTGTTATGGATACAGATTGTCATTACGATCTCTTAGTTGCCTACTCATAACGGATAGGACTTCCTCCACTCATGCAGATACAAAGCAAGATCTATCGCTTACGGATGCCTTCCATGGATTGACAATGTGATTCCATTGATACTTCATTGCCTACACATAACGGGTAGGAATTGCTCCATCTTTTAAAAGCTGCGGTTTAATTGCAATCTCGGATATCCTGTATTTGCGATGCATGATAGTACAGTATGTGATAGTGGTGTAAAAACAATGCGCCGAAGAATGCTCATGTGGATGAAAGTATGTGAACATGCCAAATAAAGTAGAATGCTAGGACCAGAGTGATGAAGACATCTATGATGACAGACTAAACGATGATGGGATCAAAGGTGCCGGTCACGACGGACGGGTGTATGATATGTCTTGGTCCACAGCACCTGATCTGAAGGCTCGATCTTATAGTAAGTTCCGGTGTTGGTTACTGTGGCCTCGCTCCGTGACAGGAGTACTGTAATTAGGGCCTTCTTGAAGTTCCCGTCTCCGCGAGAGGAATACTGATCCCAGTAATCTGTTCGGTATAGTTAGCAACGCCACATGAAAAGAAGAGAAGACACGATTCGTACTTATTGGTATCCTCGTAGCGTTCTCTCACAGACCTGACTTCGTGAAATCCAATGGGGTGTGCGCAGCCGATTCAGTATGAGCTTGGGCCGCATGTGGAAGATGGGAATAGAACTCAGGCAAAGGGCATTCCGGCAGCGTTGGTATAAATACTTTGCCGTTGGAGGAAATAGAAGGAGGATGGCGAAGTCCATGAGTAGATTGCCAAAGATTATGTGGATAGGTGGCCATAGGCGGTGGAGGGGCTGAGAAGCCTGCGTGCGGAGGCAAATATAGATGTGACGGTGGTTGCGAGTTCGGTTGGATAAACATAAGCCTGTGCTGGTGGAGAGCATGCATCTCGTGTAGCATAGTATTGGCCTGCTTGTAGTCTGTATAGTCCGGTGATTCCGCGAAGTGACCAGGTTCCGCGTCATCTTCCCCATCTATCCAATCTTCTTCGCCATCGCTATCATCTGCGTGAGGCACTGACAAAGGTGGTTTACCCCAGCCTCTCTGTGCACCGTCTAGTACTGGAGGGAGTATTCTGCGTCTTTTAGCACGCGATTCATGTGAAAATATGTCTGGAGGAATTTCACGGTGTGGTATGGGTCTGATAGGTCGATCGGGAAACGATGGAATCTCGTCCAGCGATGGCGGAGGCGTTGAAGGACGTTGCCGTTTGAGCATACTAAGTTATTTTGGCTGCAGGTCAGAATATAGTTGGTTGGTTGAAGGACAAGTGTAGCGTTCTTGAAGCCTCAAGACAACAGTTAGGCGGGGTTTCCATTTCAGGCTGTTTGTGGGAGTAAGTAATTTAGGTGTGGTTGCGAATCTTTGCTAACTCCACTTCCACAGATCAACACCGACAGCCAGCTCTGACACAATGGCCGACATGGACATATTTTCTGCGATGGGCATTGTTGGATTCGGCAAGGCTGCCAAAAAGCGAGAGCTTGATCCCAACAGGTTCGACAAAACGAAGCGTGAGGAGCTAGTGGTCAGAGTCTCATCGTTTTTCGGTTGCCATTGTCCTCTAATACATTTTATCCGCTTAGCAGCCCAAAGTGGAGGCGAAATCCTTGATCCCTGTTTCAGGGCCTTCCACAGTATCTATCCGGGCACAATATCAATCTGACGAAGACTCGGACGACCCCGGGCCTTCCCTTCCGCAACCAGGCCTTTTCAAACAGGATACTGATGGCGTAGGTGATGAAGACAACGAAGATGATGATGCTGTCTCTACTGACGACGAGCCTGAATACGACCCCAGCGCTCCCTCGCTATCGGCCCCCGATTTTCCGATCACCCACGAGGCAACGCTCAAAGAGCACACCAAGGTGATTTCCGCGCTTACAGTGGATCCGAGCGGTGCACGTGTTTTGAGTGGCTCGCATGACTATGATTGTAAGTTGTGGGATTTTGGTGGAATGACGACGCAAACGAGGTCCTTCAAGACGTGGGAGCCTGCGGGCAGTTACTATGTACGTGCGTTGGTTTTGCGACGGGAAGGATGTTTTTGACACTCGAAGAAAGGTTAATGATCTCAAGTACTCTAACGATGGCCAGCAGTTCCTCGTAATTTCAGGGACAATTCAGGCTAAGCTGTTTGATCGGGAGGGCGAGGAGAAGTAAGTTTAATCTATCTTGTTGCAGAACAGAATAGCTTGAATGACCTCAGAGCAACGTTCGTCAAGGGTGATATGTATATCAGAGACATGAAGCACACTGCGTACGCCCCGTCCCATATCACTCGTTAGCATGCCTACTTACGCTACATATTTTGTAGTGGACACGTCGGGGAACTTTCAAGCTGCATGTGGCATCCGAAGGACAAGCAGTATTTTATCACTAGTTCGGCAGACTCGACCATTAGGCAAGCTCTCACGCCGCTATCAACGAACAACTTCTGACATTACGGAATAGAATATGGGATGTCGAGAACAAACGAAAGCAGAAATCTGTTATTGTTGTCAAATCAAAAGAACGTGGTGCACGGACCAAAGTGACGACGTGCGCTTACTCTACCGACGGAACGCTGATTGGAGGCGGTATGTCCGTTTTGATCGCGAAGTGAAGTAATCATTGATGGTTCTCAGCCTGTCTGGATGGCGCACTGCATATGTGGCAGGCATCATCAAATTTTGTGAGACCAAACATGACGATCGAGGGCGCACACACGAAAGGCACAGATGTTGGATCTCTGGTTTTTTCCGTTGATGGGAGAACAGTGCTGACGAGAGGAGGGGACGACACCGTTAAGCGTACGTACGAATGCAGGCTTGTTGACATGCTTGGCTGACGTGGGCACAGTGTGGGATTTACGAGCCTTTAAACGACCGCTCGCGTCACATTCGGGGGCTACTACATTGTATCCTGGCACTAATGCTACGTTCAGCCCTGATGAAAAGCATATCCTAACAGGCACCGGAGCCCCCTCAAAGGGAGGACGAGGTAAATTGACGTTACTCAGCCGAGAGAATCTCAGTGTCGTAAAGGAGATCGACATGGACACGACACCTGTCAAAGTGGTCTGGCACTCCAAGATAAATCAAATTATTACAGGTCTTGCGAACGGTACCATTTCAGTGCTGTATTCGCCGAAGACATCGTTGAATGGTGCAAAACTGTTGCTATCAAAGGGAGCCCCAAAAAGACCGACGATCGAGGACTTGTCGGACGCACTCGCTGCACCAACGATCTTGACGCCACATGCCTTGCCAATGTTCAAAGATGGGGAGGGATTAGTGAAGGGAATGAAGAGGAAGCGGGAAAAGGACCGGATGGACCCGAGGAAGAGCAGGAGGCCGGAGTTACCGGTTACAGGACCGGGTCGGGGAGGACGAGTCGGTGCGAGCGCGACGCAGCACGTTGTGCAGAACTTGGTGCGGGATACAACACGCGACGAAGATGTGAGTGCTCTTACTTTTCTTTATGTCGCTTCATAGCATGAAGTTCTCGCGGATTATTGTGCACTGCTGCGGTGTCATAATCACGTGCTTCCTATCTTCTTTTGTTTGATGGTTTCCAAGGTGGCTGACCATACGTTTCTTTCTTTCATACTTCTTTTTTAACGACTGTAGCCACGGGAGGCATTACTCAAGTATGCGAAGATGGCAGACGAAGACCCCCAATGGACTTCAGGTAAGCAGCATGTTTCAATAGCCTGGGCTGCGGGGTTGCGGCAAGTGGGAGGGGCCGTAGCGGAGTGTGAAAAGAATTGTTTTGGGTTATTTGTTTTGATCGGTCGGCTGACGTGGCGTTACTTTGGATTTAACCAGCATGGCGACAAAACCAGCCCAAACCCGTGTTTGCGAACGTCTCAGAGGACGAGGAGGAAGAGGAGGAAGGATGAGCACCAGACTTGTGAAGTTGTGGATATTAGAGCAGGAATTAGTTTCAATTTTATGCTCTATGTGAGATTTGAGGTGTGAGTAATTTTTAGTGGCCCCTGCGCAGGTCAAACCTTAATTCCGTTCGCCTATAAAGACCCAATGGCTGCCTTCCGATTCCCCCAAATCCAAAATCTCCTCTCCTCTGAAAACGTCACGCTGTGTGACGCATTAGTCACGCGCCACCCATGAACGCGACAGAGCACAGCGCGACCAACACCGAACAACGATCGATTCTTTCTATCGCCGTCAACGGTGACAATGTTGTCAATGGTGCACGCGATCCCTAACTTAATTACTTATCTCCAGCTAACTTGAAAATGTATAACAAATTCTGTAGACCTGAAACTTGACCAAATGACTTCAGACTCTAATAATCCTTCTCTAAAGTCTGAAATCATCGACACGCTCTCAACTTGTGTAGAAATTTCGACTCCACTTGATCCAGGTTAGTTCTTTTCCCTATTGTCTGTTTTCTTTGTTCTTATCGGAACAGCTTCCATCCCCATTCACCCTCCGAGCGGAACACCAAGACCAATGGAGGGCCAGTTGTTGGATGATGTAAAGATGGCAGAGGAGACAATAGTTGATGATTCGGATGAAGTCCCTACAACTAATGGCGTACACACCGCTGACGCCGATGGAGATGTCCACATGGACCAGTCTCCCCCTACTACCAACGGTCACTCCAATGGTACACCATCCCATTTCTCACCAGCTCCTGTGGACTCTGCTGGCCCACCGACATCGCGTGCTACTTCCAATTTCGATTCTCCTCAGCAGCGCTCGGACGCCGTCGATGATGATGAAGTCAAACCACCTCCAGCTAAGCGCGCGCGTAAATATTCAGACGCCGATCAGGCATCCATTGCAAATGTAAGCATTCTTTTGTTGTGCGCCGCACAGGCGTGCTAATCCCTTTCTTTTTCCCGACCCTGAAGACTGGTTCTCCCCCTCCTATTACAGCATCCTCTGTACAAACAAATGGTGACACCGTTGTATCAAGTCCAATCCCAGCGTCTACACCAACGGGAAACGGCATATCGACCCTCAGCCCCGTGCAACACAGATTTTGTCTGTCCACGATACGTTCGCTTAAGAAACTCAAAGATGCTTCTGCATTTGTGCATCCCGTGGACCCCGTCGCCCTTAATATTCCCCATTACCCGACCATAATTAAGACCCCAATGGACCTGAGCACCATCGAGCGCAAGCTCATGTCATCTAATCCCGCTAAGCCAGAGACCAATCCCAACATTCCACGCTATTACAGTGCGGAGGAGTTCGTTTCTGACGTGCGGCTGGTGTTCAGCAATTGCATCACGTTCAATGGCCCGGACCATGTGATTGCTCAGGCAGGCAAACACGTCGAGGCTGTCTTTGATAAGCAGATCAAGCAGCTTCCACCTCCGGCCGAGGTATGTCATTTGTTGATGTATGCTGCGTGCGCGACTTATTGTTGCAGCCGAAGCCTCCTATTGTCAAGAAAGTTGCCACGCCTCCACCCCCACCTCCACCAGCTCCCCCCAAGAAAGCCGCGGCAGCACCTGTTCGTCGTCCTTCAACCTCCGTTCCTGTCATTCGGCGCAACGAGGCCGAACAGGCATCTGCACGGCCGAAACGTGAAATCCACCCTCCTCCTCCCAAAGACCTACCATATGCCGATGTGCCAAAAAAGATGCGCAAGGTCAAGGTGCCTAAGGACGATGGCACAGGGGAACAGCTCAAATATTGTGGAAGGATCTTGAGTGACCTCCAGCGAAAGCAGCATCAAACGATTGCCGCTCCGTTCTATGAGCCTGTTGGTATGTCCAAAGTCAGTTTCATACCTTACGATGAGATCACTCATGAAATTGTACAGATGCTGTAAAGCTTGATATTCCGACATATTACAGAGTCATCAAGAAACCCATGGACATGTCAACCATGCGGAAGAAGCTAGAGGCCGGGGAGTATCCCAATGCCTCGAAGTTCTTTGATGACTTCAAACTCATGATCCGAAACTGTTTCTTGTTCAACCCCGCCGGAACACCTGTCAATCAAGCAGGGATCGAGTTGCAGCGGCTGTTTGACGAGAAGTGGAAGAATCTACCGCTCCTTCGGGATGCAAGTGATGACGAAGAGGAGGAGGAGGAAGATGAGGAGTCGGAGGAAGAACGTAATCGTGGGTGGACTTCACATGCAGCATGTTCATCCTCTAATGTACTCTATACACAGGCAGGATCGCTAACATTGAGGCTCAAATTGAGTCGATGCGCGGTAATCTCATGGCTCTGAAGGCCAAGCCAGCTAAGGAGAAGAAGAAAAAGGAGAAGAAAGAGAAGGCTCCTGTCGCTTCTACCTCAAAGGCCGCTGCTTCGCGTGCGCCCAAGACAACACCTGCGACCAACGGGAACAAGCGTAAGACCACGACAAAGAAACCTATGGCCGAGGACGATGCGCTGTCGTTTGAGCAGAAGAAGGACTTAAGTGAGGCTATCACCAGTCTCGATGGAGTCAAGCTTGAGAAGGTCATCCAAATCATTCATGAGGGCGTTCCCGAAATTCGTGATGTGAGTCAATCGGGAGATATGTACTATCATATTGATAAACCATTCAAGCAGAGTACCGAGGAGATCGAACTTGAGATCGATATACTACCACCACACGTTCTCACAAAGTTATACAACTTTGTGCTTCGACCTCTGAGGCAACCAACGCAGAAACGGAATCGAACTGGCAAGGGCACGGGTACTGGAGGCCTTAAACGGAAGAGCATGGACGAGACTGCTGAAGCTGAAAAGATTCGCAAGCTGGAGGAGCGGATGCGACTCTTCGACGATAACAACTTTGCCACACCCAACGCTACACCTGCACTAGCTCATCAGAACGATAGCGATCATTCATCGGACTCTTCTTCAGACGACAGCTCGGGCAGCGAGTCGGAGTAACTCGTCTTCCCCACCTTGCGACGTCGCTCATCGCATGCGGTTGATATTTTTTGCGCGGCTTTGACGGGTTGTTGGTAGAGTTTTCTTCTTCACCCCCCGCTTATTGTTCTCCTTTAATTGCGACTGTCGTCTTGATCTTTATAACATTCAGAATTTGTGCTACTCTCCATCTCTTCGCTCTTTCGCAAGCAAACGTACATACATACACCACCAAAATTAAAGAACAGCAATGTAGTTAGTTAATTCTAGTCGTGGCTGATGGTCGTCACAATTACAGACCGTGCCTGCTCGATACCTTGACTTGGTTTGATTCCACGTACTCAAGATGACCCCAATGCCATTGGAGTACACATGCAGTCTTCTCATGGCGTAAAATAGATCTCGTTCAGTTCCGCACTCTGCGCTTCGCTGGCTAGGCTCGAAGTCCTCTTTGCTGGTGACCGAGGCTCATCACCGCAGCGAATAGCCGCCAATGTTGATTCCTCTTACCCACGCAGCCGCTCGGGCCCGCAGCTGCTGATAACAAACTAACTTGGCAATACTAAGTGGTCGCATGTCTCTTGCAGACCACTGAATTGAAGGTCTATCCTGGTGATTTCATTCCCGTCAAAGTTTCAAATTAATCTCTTCCCGTTGTCTCATTCGAGAACCATGTCAGTGCTTGCAGTCGCACCGGCGCTTTCAGTACTTCAAACGTGACGCTCGCGAGCTCCATCTCATCCGCGTGTTGGAAATGCCAGTGCAACCTGCGATGAAACGGAGCGAGAATGATGTATCGATGTACGAGCAACAGGGACGCAACCATCTGGCCCATATGCCGCGGCCATCGCAGCAGGAGTCAGCATCCGACGTTCAAGGCTCAATTGTCATCGAACAGTGTCTTAAACCAGCTACCAAGACCCTACCTAGCTCATAGACTAGCCTGGCTAGACTCCCAAGGAGTTCATCGTGGATCCAGAGTGGACATCTTCTAAATGTTCTTTAACTTAAGTACTCAAAGCTCATGCTAAAGAGCGCTAACTTACGGCATCAGAACTTCAGCCATATATCGTTTTTCCGCCGCCATGTGGGCACCTGTTCTTGATCGCCGGATATCTTTTCCAGAGTATCTTTAACTCTATAAGTACCTTGAGTTGACAACTTTAGACCTCCCTACCAGCGCGCACTGCCATGTTTCTGGGAACGCTTATCCCAGTTAGAATTGCATTATTAGCTGGCGTATGCATTACTCACACTGTGTCTGTTAATCTCGACACTGCAGAAGCAGGGTTCATCGACACTTGGTCCAAGGCTAATCCATCTGTGATTCGCTATGTTAAAAACTCGGAAATCTGCGAAACAACTCCAAATGTTACACAGATTTCAGGGTACGTTGACGTTGGGACGAACATGTCCATGGTATGTTTCTGTGCACCATGCTCTAGATGTAGACTGACTCAAAAAGCAGTGGTTCTGGTTCTTTGAGTCTAGAAACTCACTCGAAACAGCCCCATTTACTCTATGGTAGGTTGTCTGGAAGCTGGACTAAAAGTACCTGAGTTTAGGCGCACCATTAACCTGCATTCGCAGGTTGAATGGTGGTCCTGGATGTTCTTCTATGATCGGATTGTTTAAAGGTCGATTGCTTTGATTTCTTTTTAATCTGCTTCCCATCTTCCACAGAGAACGGGCCATGCTTAGTAAATGCTGACCGCAATTCGACCACTCTTAACCCCTACAGGTATGTAGGGATCATAGACCTTTTCATATACTAGACTAACATGATATCCTACAGTTGGAATAATCTCAGCAACAGTATGTAATATGTAGTAGCTCTTTAATTATGTCACAAGAACTGACTTCCTCACCCAGTGATCTATATCAACCAACCAATTGGGACTGGATTCTCCTATGGTAATACTGATATGGTGAATAGCACTGAAACTGCTGCATCCTATGTATGGACTGCATTCCAGGTTTTATTTGAGAGTCAGCTATTTTGGAAGTATGCCAGTCGAGAGTCAGTTGTTTAACTCATTGATTCGGTTGCATGGACGATTGCTTATGTCGTGCTCAGATTCATCTTTGCCACAGAAAGCTATGGCGGTCACTATGGACCCAGTTTTGTGACCTACTTTTGAAGAGCAAAATAGGTTAATCGCTAGTGGGGGGATCGATGACATTCCAATTGTGGTTAAAGCTCTGATGATTAACAAGTATGTTGCTCTCATGGTTGTTTGGGTGTTGAATGAACACTTGCAGTGGCTGGTTTGATCCGCTCATTCAGAACATTGCATGGCTGAACTTTGCGACCCATGCTCCAGGTTATGGGCAGCTCCAGCCAGATGAAGTACTCAAGGACATGTCAAATGCTCTTTATGGCTCTAATGGTTGCATAGTACAAGAGAAAGCCTGTTACGCTGCTGGACATTCCACCAGTTCAAACAGGATTTGTCAGGATGCTGATGATTACTGTGTGAGTGACATTTGAGTAGTATCTCTAGGGGCATCGCCTAACTCATTCAGATTGATAATATTTACTATCCTGCTGTGGAGGGTTACGACCAGCATGATTTGCGTCAAAATTTATCCATTTTATCCCCCCCTGAGTATTATATGGATTATTTACGTGAGAAGCATGTCATGGAGAAGATTGGTGCTGAGGTTAAATATGAGGAATGCGCAAATGCACCTATGGAGCAGTTTGCAAAGACAGGCGATGCAAGTTTTTGTCCAACTTTCCCCCCTCGAGTGTTGAATTTACGATCCTGTTAAAGGACGCTAGGACTTGGCTGCCCCAGCTGTCGGCTCTGGCCAACTCTGAGATGAAGATTTTGATTTGGGTGCGTACATCAGTGTCTACTCCATTGTTTGCTACCTAATTTACCTGGGAACCATAGGCTGGAGATGCTGATATTAAGTGTGCTTTCCTGATGTCATGATACCTCGCGAGATCTTGACGCTTCTCAATGGCTTTAGCTGCAACTGGCTTGGGGTAGGTTGACACATATTTTGTCTCTCACATTGCTGAGAAATTCTGTCGTTTAAAAGAGTCATGCGTCAGTCCTAGCAATGGATTGGTATGGCAACAAGACGCTCCATAACACCCCATTCACCAATATGACAATCAACGGCATACCTGTTGCAGCTGTGCAGAATGTTGACAACTTCTCCTTTGTGTGAGTGTTTTTCTTTCAACTTGCTTTCAAGATATATGCATATCATTATTTTATCTGTTAGGTGGGTGTACGCTGCGGGACACCTAGTGGTTAGTCGACTCACCCCCAAGATGACAATACTTACTGATGCCACTTATGTTATTATCAGCCTGCTTTCCAGCCCCAAGTAGCATTGGAGATCTTCTTGCAGGTTATTCAGAAGGAACAACTTCACTCAGTCTAAAGAGTGAACTCAAGTAACAGACACTGGCATCGTGCTGATGTATCCTTGGCGTGTTGTAGGAGGGGAATGCTTTTCCTCAAGCCCTCAAACTGCCCGCCCGATCTACGTCAAGGATGTGGCATGCCCATCACGAGCAGCTGCTTCAGATGCGCCGAAGTTGCAGAGACCATATAAAATGATTAGTATGACTATTTTGACGTCTAGATAAAGTTATTTACTTTGTATCGTGTAATCACGATTCTAGCACTTTGCAGTCCCCAACTTCCCATGAAATTTGTGCATGTATTTTCTGTTTCTCCCTGTATATAAATGGCGGTTTATATACTGTAGAGTAAGGAACAATAAAGAACGTGAGAGAAACAATGGAGACATGTTGCCTGGTAAGGATGAAGGCTTTTTAGGAACACTACATACGCCCTCCAGGTCCTCTTAAGAGGACCTTCTAGTCATCTGTGGTAGGGGACTGTTAAGCCTGAGATACATGTGCAGACTGGATGTTCATGGTACCCATCGCTGCTAGGAGGACGAGGAGGGTGATGTTAATGATAGCCAACAATCCCAAGAGGACGGATCTACCAAATAGCTCTTGGGGATGAAGCCATGATGACGAGCCTCAGCTTCTAGGTCCATTTTCTCATGCCATGTAAGTGAAAACATGCTCTCCTACCAGCCTGGCGTCTCCTTGTGACAATATGGTGGACCTTGTGAACCCATATACTAAGATAGGCAATCACTGCGAAAATGAGAAAATAGTCGAGCCAGATTAGACAAGGAATAGAACCTATAACAGGACAGTAACACAATGTAAGAAAATAGATGTTTCGCCAAGAGTTAGAATCAGCAAAGGTACATTTGCGGCACACAAACTGGACACTGGAAACAAAGGATTTACGGGCTCTCCATAGATGCGCAATAGTCTAATCCGACATCGGAATTTAGGGATTTGCACGTCGAGTTTACTTCTGAATAGAATAGGAAACAAGTCTGATTATTATCTGATTATACATATGTTGTACATGTGCTACCCGTGCTTCCTAGGATCCTCCATGCAGCTCCGGATTTTTTCTTGCTTCCTCCCCACAGCTCAATGCTGCCCACTAGTAACGCTATGTATCCTGGACATGGACAGCAACAGCCTAGTAGGGCTCCCAATGACCTGCAAAACCAGTTTAATCCAGCGATACACCATGGAACTGAGCCGGAGCCTTACAGTAACCAGTTCAATCCTGGAGATTCCGAACCATGGCTTGCCCCGGTGTGATGAATTTTTTAGTGCTGGGATGGGGGGACAACAGGATGGACCTGTTACACAAACCGTAATTAGTCCAATAGTAACACAACTCGATAAAAACTCACTTGTAATCATGTAGCCTGCGCCTGGATCCTTTCAGTGGCACCTGCAGGATGCTCCACTGTATCCCTACCGAGCTGCAGTGACTCCGCATGCTGTATGTCTTCTGGCTATGAGAAATATTGGTATCAGCTCTAATTTGTCGTTTAAGGGAGGAACATCGCACCTAGGTCAGACTCCAACACCATTCACTGGAAGCCAGCCGTCATCTCGAGGACAGTCCGTGGGTCCAGTGACGCACTGGAGGACCTGCCTCAACAGCGCCCAACCAATTGCTTAATGCTCCTGGCACCTCGGTGTGTATGCCGCTAATGTCGGGACCCTTGACAGTACCTGCTTGTGGGCTTAGCATCTGGAGAGGCTTTTGGATAGATATTTCAATGGTCTGCAAAGAAAATTAGTTGGCATCAGTTTATTTGCGCAAGGTACTTACTATGGGTCCTGGTGTTCTGCACTCGAAAGTGAATTTAAATGTTTTCACATCCACGGGCAGCTCGAGCTTAATTGCATCGCAGGCTGCCATAGCGCAAGTAGTAAGTACAAGCTGTAACACGGGACTTGAAGAAATTTTTGAAAAACCTACTTTGCTTTAAGTACAACTTAAACAGACGTCGAAAGGTTAGATTTCCGGGGCTGGTTTGTGGTGGAATAGCATGTATTTGAAGAGAATAAACGGAGGTCAGAAAAGATGTGTTAACGAAGTTGGAAAAGTGTTTGTTTACTCATGTTGCTTCAGACCGAGCGAACAAAATTTGTGACATGTCGGATTTTTGTCTGATTATAAGCTAGGTACGTTTAGAGTCGTATTATACGCGCTGTCTCCCTCTGATTAGGGTCCGACTATTTTCTCGTTTCTGCAGTGAATGCGGGGATGTCGATGAAGCTTACATAAGACGCATGCTGATTTCCTTTTTGGTCACACCGTGAAAGAAATTGCCAATGACATTAATTTCTCAAACGACTGTAATGCATGGCTCGGTAGCATCTGCGGTGAGAGCTCGTACAGGTTAGCGAATATGTTGCACCTGTACTTGTGGTACGGGATTCCAATGATGGTGGATTGGCAGATAAGAGGAGTTGGACCGGCAGTGAGGGAATCTCCAAGTAGAGATGAACCACGAGCCTAGAGCACTGGAGGTAAGGCGCTCCTCTTGTGACAAATTTGATGACGAGTTTGAGACGTAGTAAGAAGAGATAACTTCGGCTGCATCCGCCGGTGCCTGCAGCACTTGGCCCGAGATGAAGCGGGAACAGCCTCGGGCGTCTACTACTTTGCAGTTCAGAGCAAGAGACCTACGATCCCTCCAAGCTCACTTCGACCACGTTCAACACCATCAACCTCCAGTAAAATGTCGAAGCCCATTCCAATTACTACACCCGTGCGAGAGTTTAAAGGTCATGAACATTGTATAATGGCAGCCGCAGTGTTCCCCGATAAACGATTGGTTACGGGCTCACACGATAAGACGGTTCGTCTATGGGACTTGGAGACCGGCGTTGCATTGAAGAAGATGGAACTGCATCGCGAGGGGGTATCGAGATTGGCGGTCTCACAAGATGAGCAATTGATAGCAAGCGGTGATCTGAATGGGGAGGTCATGATCTGGCACGGAGAAACTGGAGAATTGCTCTCCCAGCCCATCAAAGCTCACACCGAGTGGGTCAGCTCGCTGGATTTTTCTCCTGATGGGACAGTGCTGGCCACTTGTTCAAACGACGGAATGACAAAATTATGGAGCACCAAAACCTGGGCGGAGCTGCAAGGAAGACCAATTAAATGTGGTGGTGGTACTGGTTGTGTTCGGTATTCGCCATCTGGAGAATTTCTTGCCATCGCAACATCGAGCATCGACATTTATAATTCAGGCACGAGGGAACTTGTCGCATCCTTCAAGGGTCACAAATCGCACAACTTCTCACTCGTATGGACAGCCGACGGCACACGCCTTCTTACAGGCGGCGATGGGGTCGATCCTACCATACGCGAATGGGATACAACAACCTGGCAGCAGGTTGGCGATCCTTGGACGGGCCACTCCAATTATATCAATGTCATGGTCATTAATCCTGCTGGCACACTCATCGCATCGGTATCTCCATATGAGGGTCATGTTCGTCTTTGGCGGGTCTCAGATCGACGAACCGTTGCCATCTTCAAGCACTCATCCGGGCCAGAATGGGTTGCTTTCTCCGTAGATGGCAAGCACATCCTCAGTGGAGGAAACGATAGGATGATCTCAGAGTGGGCAATACCCAACAACATCAATTCAAAGGCACGTTTCCTGCCTTGCCTCATAAATCAAAATTTGAGCATGTTTCGTGCAGATCCTAGGCATCATGACAGCTCGCATTGCATGCATAGATGGAGACTTGTCACTCGCCGAAGAACTACTCACACGAGATATCAGCACCGATGAGAACAACCATACTTCCTACGCTCATCGCTCATTTGTTATGGCGCGAAAACACGACTGGGACCACGCCGTTCAGGATGCAATCACGGTGAGATATACTCACTTGATCATGGTTCTCTTATGAAAGACTAACTCGATGGTGACATAGTCCATTAGCATTCAGCCATCGTTGATAGGCTTTATCTCCAAGGGTATTGCCCTCTGCGGAAAAGGCCACATCCGCGATGCGAGGGTAGCATTTGATGTTGCATCCATGTACACAGATCAAGATTCAGAAATCGCTCATTTTCTGCTCTTGATCAAGGTATGTTACAGTTGCCTTGCATACTCTGTCTCATTCCATATTTCAGGCCATAACACTGTTCAATGCAGGTCAACATGACGAAGCAAGCCTGCTCCTCAAAGAACTCGCTGCGGGTTGTCCGAATGCCGATACTCGCGCATGTCGTATCGTGGAAGTAAGTAGCATGCAGCTACACCTGGTCATCAATCCCAACCTTTGCACATTAGGCATATCTGCGTGTTCAACTCGAAAAAGCCTTGGATGGCGCACGTCATGCCGAAGCCGCTGACCATTTCACTTCCGCTGTCAACTCCAGCAATTCATCACCAAAATTAAACGTTCATGAGATATATGAGGACCTGGTGGTGGTGCGTTAAGACGATGTGTACATAGTGCTTCTCATAACTATATATTTTGTCCAGCTCTTCGGCTGGGATCTGAAATGTTTGTGGCTGACTACACACCAGAAACGGTGTAATGCACTCCTTCAGGCAGGTGAATTTCAAGATGCCGTGAAATTATACCGGTATATGGTGGATTCAAGTAACAAAAACACCATGGTCGACTACCTCGACTGGTCCAATGGCAAGTCTAGTTTGTAATGTCATGCAGGCCACAATCCTCACCTGCATTTCACCCAGCTTTCAGGGAAGAGTGCAACACGCTTTGTATTGCCAACGGAGATGTTGCCCTCGCTGCAAGCGAGTATGACAGGGCTATCGACCTGTACTCGGCGGCGATCGCCCTGGATCCTGCATCCGATGTCGTCTTTGCAAATCGCAGCAAGGCGATGTTGGGGAAAATGCTATGGGAGGATGCAGTTCTCGACGCGCAAAAGGTGCGCTGGCATGTATGTTTTTGTAGCCCATATTGACTTCGGCAATGCATAGGTCACCGAACTTAATCCTTCATCTCACGTTGGATACCAGTTAACACATATAGCGCTGCGTGGCGCGGAACGTTACGACGAAGCCATCGAGGCATTCACAATCATGTTGTCCAAGTTGGACGATGCTCCCGAAGCGCAGATACGCAGTAAGCCATGGAACACTCCTGCATAATCTCGAAATGCCTATATCATTCTACAGGTTTGCGTCGGCAGTATGTCTGTCCATCCCAAGCAGAAGACGCTATTCGAAGAGCAGTTTGGATCGAACTCGAAAATGCCCCCCTTCGTCTGCTCAACACCTCTACGGGTCTTTTGTGCGACCGAGCAGCACAGCTAAATTCCTTCAAAATGAGTCCAGAGTACAATGAGCTTATCACGTTTCCAACGAAAGATTCAAACCTCCGAACGGAGCGCATCAAAGATGTAGTGGCGACGTACTTCCGTTGCGTCCTGCTATCACACAGGTGGGAAGAGACGGAGGTGTTACTGCACGACATTCAGGACAAAGTCGTGTACGAGTTGAATGGACTTAGTGGCATTGCGAAACTGCAGTCGTTCTGCAAAATCGTTCGTGATGCTGGGTATAACTGGGCATGGATGGACACATGCTGTATCGACAAGAAGAGCAATATTACGGAGCTTCAAGAATCGATCAACTCCATGTTCGTCTGGTATCGCAACTCAGCGCTTACGATCGTCTACCTATCTGATGTCCCTCCTTCATCCCAGTCCGGTGCACTGGCGGGGAGTGTTTGGAACGAGCGAGGATGGACCTTCCAAGAATTAGTTGCTCCGCAAGTTGTTATCTTTTATCAGAAAGATTGGTCGTTATATCTCGGCGACCGCTCTCGCAACCACAAAGAGTCCCCTGCAATCATGAAGGAGTTAGAGGAGGCGACGGGCATAGATGCACGGGCCTTGGTGAACTTCAGTCCAGGTATGAGGGGTGCCCGAGAGAAACTGCAATGGGCATCGAAGCGCGTGACCACTCTGCAGGAGGACGTTGCGTACTCGTTATTTGGCATCTTCGGTATCACTCTACCTGTCATCTATGGCGAGAAGAAGCAGAACGCGCTCGGACGGCTCCTACAGGAAATCGTGGCTCGGTCGGGGGACATCACTGTCCTCGACTGGATTGGACAACCTTCCGAGTTCAATAGCTGTCTTCCAGCCCATATTACCTCTTACACCACTCCTCCATGTGCCCTTTCATCTTTGTCTGAAGATGATATTCACACACAGCTCTCTTCGCTGCGAAAAAATCTCGATATTGTGGATCTGGCTTTGGAACTTTACGACCAGCTTGATTACACAAGCGCTGCTCGTTTCGCGAACTGCAGGCTGCATCTGCCTTGCATAGCATTCCGTGTCACAGAAGTCAGTCTAAGCTACGGTCCATCCCAAGAGACTGGATATAAAGTCAAGGCAGACGGGCTTCGTGACCTGCTGATCACTACCAAAGAGCTGAATGTTCACTCGCGGACAAGACCCATCAAGCAAACTCTCCTGCTTGTCCGTCCCTGGGATCGCTCTCTCCTCGAGCTACCAGACTTTGCAAATCTGCTAGACGATACGGAGAGCGAGGGGGATTATCGGACACCGCCTTTTTCTCCGTCAGATGACTCACCTAGCCATTCTCTTGTAAAACAAGATGGGGTTGATCTAGAATCGCGAGCATTGCGGTTGCTCGTTCGCCTTGGACAGCCTTTTGGCGCCTTTTTGCTAGCGCGGCAGCGCGGCGGAGAATACAAGAGGGTCGCGTCGGATCGTGATATCATTGCGCAGGTCAAAGATGTGTCTTCTGTTCAAGACTTGATGGACATTAAGACGGTAGAAATATTGTAGATGCATATTTTTCCCGGAGATGAGGGATCTGAGCGGTGTTCATTGGTACTTCGTATATGTGATACCACATGTATGTGTATTGAACTATAGATTCTCTTCGAAGAAGACCATGGAAACCTATCTGCGGTAAGCTGGCATCCGCCAGAAATGCGAGCGAGCGAAAACAGTGAAGATCCATAGGGAGACGCACTCGCAGTGGTAAGAGGATGAAAGGTGGATAACGCAAGGGAGACCAAACAAACACATTTGCAGCGTAAGAAGGTGAATCGGTCGATGGTCGGTCAAGTGGCAATTACGGTGCTTGACAGTATACAAGAATACCAACGCGCCACAGGAAGCTCGCGTGACACGGGAACATAATTCGAAATAACAGGCAAGAATGGTCAGAATGTAGACTAGTATTGTGTATAGTACTAAAGGTCTCTTAGAGTAGTAAGCAGCGATGGCGACACAGCTCACCAAATATATATGCTGTGAATGGGGACTGAGATTATAGTAGCACCGGGTGGATATATACACGTCAATATCGTATATTGGGTATTATCCCGTAGCAAATAGTCGTTCCTTCTTCTTCGGCGCCAGTGCCTCAGATTCATTTTACCCATGAGCTAGATTGCTCAGATTCCTCCGTGTAATCCACCATCACCGAGCGCTCGACGCGTACGCGTATACCGAGTTCCATGTCGTTGGAATTGCGAGGCGATTTTGCCCTGAGCTCTGTATCGACGGGGTTTTTGGAGCCGTTAGAGCCCTTGGAGTGGCTCTTGGACTCGAACTGGGAGCGGAGACCGGACATCACTTTTTTCGTTGCAGTGAGTGTGGGACGCGCGACGATCACGTTTTCCAAGTGTTGAACATGTGGCTCTAACATTCCTTTGCGTAGTTGGGTGATCGGAGCGGAAGAAATGGAATGAATGAACGTCGCGAGCCTTAGCAGAATAACAGTCAAGCTCTAGAGTGGTGCGTACCTCGTATATTGATGAGAATCCGTTGGCTCATGATCCACGTTAAAGCATAACCTACTGACGCCCTAATGATGCATTTTAAGGGGTCTGATCCCCTTGACGCCAGATGATACAAAACTTACCCTGCCGACTAATGATAGGAGCGAGTCGATGTGAGTCTCCATGGTGTATCCAAAGTTGAGCCTACATACCTGAGTATCGATATTAGTTGTATGATAAAGGATGAGATTCAACACATTCGCCGCTGAGGGAATGTTAGGAGAGTGCTCATCGCAAGCAGAATATACTTGCCGGACAACACGATGAGATATCCGATGCCGTCATAGATCAGGCTAAGCATAATGAGTGATGCACATCGACTCTGCCAGTGGTAAGGGACTTACACCCGTATTAGCTGTTCAACTCTGACAGAAATGGTTTAGCAATACGAAAGATGAGAAAGAAAAGACTCGCCTGCTACTGAGCGGATTATAACGCAGAAGATGCATGGTAGAAATTGTCACTATGACAATGTCATACACCAACACAGCGAGGTAATAGAACCAGGTTGACAATACTTTGCCAGCATCTCCCGAGGTGCAGCTATGGTTCACGAAGATCTGAACAGCCCACACTGGTGGTAAACGACCACTTACTTTCCCTAAGAAAGAGATACTGTTTGCATGAAATCTCGTTGTAAGGAAAACTGACGTACATCAACAACAACAGCTGTGTATCGTAAAGGTCAATGAAAACCCAAGATTAAAATATAAGTCAGAGCTTACGAGTCCGGTGAAACATATCGGAGAACCACTCCGCCTAAAAGAAATCAGAGAAAGGATATCATACTTGTGTTGTAAGAACCCACTGAAACAGACAGGAGGTATAGCAGCAATAGTACAATTCCTATCCGCCTATCTCTTCTTGCAATATTGAATGCTCTGAACAATTTTTTCAGTCTGTGCAGCTGCAACCCATAATATATTCGACAGGACATACCTGACACCTAAGATTGCCTGTGATATCATTGTTTGCATGGCTACGGCATGGTCAATAGAGTCATGGTAGGTAAAGACCAATAGGACAGACCTTTGAATGCAGGCGCCACAAGATAGTACTGTTGACACGTTTGTAGGGTATAGGTGGTGGAGAAGAATCCGTAATTGCTAATTACTATAGCCATGATACTAATATAGCTGCATTGAATGTGAGCAAAAAAAATCCACAAGACAGACGGAGGACAAACGTACCGTATAAGAATGAATAAGGTGCAGGCAAGACTGATGAAAAGTGAGCTTGTCAACAGTGATACGTGAAAATATTCCAGGGTATACATACCTTATATGAAAAATTGACGATTGGCTTCGGTAAAAGCGCCATTCTGCGGGGAGTGTAAGAACATAACTGAACGTAACCTGTCAGAATATTGTGACGACTATGGGGCCGCAACAAAGATTTAAAACGCTACTTACTCGTAAAATGCAACTGAGATGGATGCTACTCGCAAATATTTTTCAGAGGTTAGGCTGTCTATGACGACACGCCGCTCCAGAGCCTCCATTTAATAAACGAAAAACTCGTCCTCTGTGATAGACTGAGGGGAGAATGAGGGTGAAAAAGGAATGTAGGAAGGGCCACGCGACTCGGAATAGGCTGATGCTGAAGGCTTTTACGAAGAAAGAAATAAACACTGAGGGGGAATGCCAGCAAGGCAAAACTTTTCTACCAAAACCACACTTTGAAATTGATTAGATGTACTCGGGTACTAAACGATATAAAAGGGGCAATCTTGTCTGAAGTAAATCTGTCATGCAAGCCAAGATTGAGCCAGCAAGTTAGCCAGCGAGACATCGGCTGGTATTGGTGAGGCACATCAGGGCACTGATTAGTAGTAGTAGGCGGTCCTGATGTCCACTTTATTGATTAGTAAGCAAACATGGGGTTTATGAAATTTATGAAATGAAATTCATTTATGAGTCCGAGTCGTGCCAAGTCAGTCACGGATTCTGCGAGGAACGACTTTCACAGTTCTGTCACCCCAAATCAGAAGGGCCACAGTATTTTCCAATTACTCAGCGTTCACCAAGTACTGATAGGCTTGGGCTCAGGCTGAAGTCGAATGAGTACAAAGACAAAGTTCTGGGAGGACGCGAGTCCGTCGTTGTGCGTCTCATTGCTTCGTATCTACTCAGTCCACATGATAGTAGGCCTTCTTCGAATTCTCAGTCTAGACTCATACTCTTCAGATTCCCAGATTTGTATACGGCTTCAATTTAATACCAAAGCCTCTCCCTCTCTCACCATATCTCGAGTTTCCATCTAGACGAACAGTAGCGTGTGTGCACTCAGGGCTCTGGTAAACACCGTGACCTGTCGATTTTCATTGGGACCCGAGCATACGTGCTGTTTTCTGCACTCCAAAAAGCGTGTTTGCCAGCAATAGGGCCTAGCGCTTTCTCCGCATCATGCTTCGGAACCTGGAAGACTTTCTATCAAGAATTGCTTCTACGTGCACATCTAGAACCTTAAGGGATCCATTGCTTGTTTAGAAAATATTGACGACTTACCAGATTCTCTCATCCGCAGGCATGGTCGGCAAGTTTTTAGTCATCCTCTGATAGAGACGACGACGACGTTGTCCATAAGCTACCTTAATACACTGCCGTGTGTCCCATGTGTTCCCTTGGCACATGATCGACCTGATGTAACAATAAAGACGGCCGTGTTACCATCAGTCACCAGCGAGTGCATAGTTGTTGCGCTTCATATGAGCGGCAAGAGGGAGTTCCATCCCACTCGCTAAGTTTGTCTTCCTTCCGCAGCAGGAGATAACTACATACTGTATGCAATGTTTGCAGCTTGAAGCTTGAGCTTGAGTAACCAGCTGTACAGATTAAGCACCCACCAGTGACTCGCATCCCATACACTCATACACATCTATCCGCAGTGTCTCATCGATATCGCTCTGTTGTGAGGTCATGAATGAGTATTTGTGTTCGCGTTTGTATTCAGCCGTAGCCCCAAGACTTTTCTTAGGTCAGATCTGTACATGTATAGCTGGGTTTTGCGGTCCATACTGCCTTATGATGCTGCTGACCCACAGCATGCTAGCTTCCTTGCAGTTCATCAAGTCGTTCTTCCTCCCCCACACGTGCTTCACCACCAGTATATTTCTCGCTACGTCATCTGCGTTGATGTACGATAGCCTCCAAATCAACGCGTTGGGTATCGCATAAACTGTGGTATGTTCCCGAAAGAACGTATACCCGAGTCGTGGCTCCCCCTACGACATAACCGCAATCAGGTTGTACGCTGTGTGGGACCGACCTGTCACGGCAATGCGGAGGTCTGACCCAAGCTTATCCATCCGATTTTGGCTATGATACGAAGGCAGGTGACTTGACCCTCGTTATCTAACAATGATACCATAGTAAAACCAGGACGACGGGGTCTCGGTCTTGGCCAAAGTTGAGAAAAACTTATTTGCATCGGTGGCAGTAGCAATTTGTGCCATGGCGTGCGCAGGGGTCAATGGGAACTCTAGGGGAGCGTGAGTGTCATCGCACGAAGTATCTTAGAGACGGCGCTCAGAGAGACTGAAGTACCGAATTGCAACGGATGCTCACAATTTGTGCGCCTTTAAGCTTTAAGCTCAATGCCATCTTACCATCAATATTGACGCGGAATTAACCGAGAGCTGTGTACGTTTAAAGTTAAGGTTGCAAGAGACTGTCGGTAGTGCACTAGTGAGAAATGAGCCGACGAAGACCCTCAGCCAAAAATGCAGGAATCTGCAGACCGTGACGCAGTGGTGGAGCAACACCAACTCGAAGCGCAAACGCCATGTCTCGAACATACTATGGTGTCCGTGGCTAGTAAATGCGAGGCGACGCAACCTACGACTAATCAGCAGAGAAGGACGTACACGCATTCGATATCTTATTCCTCTCCAGGATCGACGTCCGACTCATTGATATTACTACGGGAAGGTTTTGCTGATGAGTTGTGCTCGATTCAGAGTCTCGCTGCTCACTGGACAGTAATCAGGCCGAGGCCCGCATCATTCACGCAGCGTGGTCTACAGAGTAAACAAGTGGTACACGCTACTGCAACGATCATCAGACGTGTCAATTAGCCATACGGTAAACCTGGGTCTGCTAAGCGCACCAGTACTAATGTAAGTCCCACATCTTACGCAAATGGCACTTGCGAGTGCAGGACATAACAAAAAGAAATGACATTGCGAACTTGACTTCAAGTGATAAAAATTGTTGTTGGAATTTCGCTCGTCTAATTCATAGCCGAGCCTACATGATGATACATCAACTATACAAAAATTAAGGAACCTACGTGTGCTCCCGGATTGAAGACATTAGGTGACGAAATTGGGGTCCCGAGTTGTGTTGAATGCTATGAGGGATTTCGATATACTTCGATGAACTTTTCAGCTGCGGGGAGTAGGAAGTGGCTGAAAAGAGCACCCAGAGAGATTCACCTCCGACATCGAGCGGAGTTATCAGTCTCGTTGGTGGCTCATTTTCAATCCGCAATCCAACCGCGACAGTAGCAAGAATGCCAGCTCGCACAGCAGAAAAAATTGCAGCACTCAGCGAGATGGGTTCATCGATTGTTCTCCCTCTGGGACCAGGGACTAGGCGATATCCACAGATGTGGGGATAGCGGAGTATCATCGAGGCTACTTCACGGAATAGTTTCGAGACTAATCCGAAGGGGATGAGGTCAGAAAAATCGAGATAAAGTGCGATCTCTTTCCAAAGCTCGAGAGGCAGCAGTGAACGTGTGATGCTGGGTGGCACATCATTGCTGCCATCAACTCCCTGAGCGAGCGACTTCTCTGTTTTATTCCGTACATGATAGCAAATATCTACAACACGCTCAAAGAGTGCGGGGTCGATGCGAAAGCCAAGACGAGCGAGAGCATTGATGCCTGGTGTAGAAGGTGAATATGCATAGAATGATGGTAAAAACTGGAGGGCGCTCGTGTGGCTGAATTTCATCGTGTGCGCATCTTTGACAACTTTGACGACTGCACAATGGTAGACGGAAAACGCGACTCCAAAGTATTCACCAGGATTATCCTTCTGCTCCATGATCGCGTTGATCAGGCGTGACACAGAAGCTTGTAGGCGTCGCTCTTCATCTAAATGCGTTGCGATGTAAACAACAATGTCTTCGCGAACCCATGTAAGCTCTTTTCTTTCCAGCCTGGGATGGGATGCATTCTTGATTTCGTTGAATATCTGAGGAACAAACGTGGTGCTGGCCATGAAGCATGCAATTGACCACTGGTCGTCCGTGAATTGATTGTGATCAGATACAAGCTCGATATTGTAGATGCCCTTGCCAATGGTTTGGTTGACCATGCACTACCCAATCATGACCTCTAGCAATAAGACTCGAATGCGCTCGTCTGGAGATAAAAAATCATTAGTGGCGAGCAGATCGCTCAAAGCCACGTGAGATCCAGTGCACACGGAAGATTGGTACGTTGCGAGGTCAGAATTACTGACGGTCGGTGGTGCTGGCCTCTTGTACCTGTGCTCAGGGGGGCATCGCAACGCACAAGCTAGGTTGCCGTAATGATCTTTGGAGATATATTGGATAAAATCACCCTCGTCTGGAAGGCATTCCAAGGAGAAAAAAGGCGTTCCATTTATGTGGAAGATATTGCGATCAACATCTATCTCGTAGATCCATTCGATAAAGATGTCGTTTTCTGGCCGCTGCCAGGATGGGGGGGAGAAATCATCACCGCGTTCTATCAATATTTCAGATAGACTTCTCAGCCCATCTAGTATCTCTCCCAACATCTGTAGATAGGTCGTGATGGCATTGGGAAATTGCATAGATTGAAGCACCTTTACGCCAAGCCCATCTGGATAACTGTCATAGTTGTGGTATTGAGCGAAATAAATGTTCCGATAGCGGAGCACGTAATACCCGCGAGTTCCCATGCCTGTACGTAGATCAAAGAGACCTGGATGAGTCTCCTGATCGATTTATAAGTGCACGTAGAACCTAAAAGACGATTCTCAGCGTTGGTGAAAGAATCGCTATGAACATTGACAGTACCTAAGAGACGGGTCTGGAGAAAATACAACTTGTAAGAGCCAGCATGCAAACTGAAGAAAAAATATGCCTCAGTCTTGGTGAAAGGACCCCTGAGGTACAAATAGTGTGATACAACCAAAGGTCAGTATGATAAAGTTTAGGGCTGGCAAGTTGTAATACTAGAGACCCTGATGACAAATGAAGAAAAGGAATACAGGTTGAACGTTGAACATTTAACACAGTCGGTGTACGGGAATGACTGTATCTGGCAAGAAGACTGAGTCGATGATCAGCAAGATCAGGTTGGCAACGAAGTTCAAGTGATGGTCGAGCGTCACGTCGCGATCGCTAAACGAGTACCAGTACCTTCGCAGAACCAAAAGTTGAGCAACAGAACACATAATCAGCATTATAAACGACACAGATGTGCATGTATCTACTCTATCTCCGTTTCGACCCGGAGCCTTGCTTCCACTGCTGCCAGCCTGATCTTGCTTGAGGAGCAGCAGGCGGTGGAACCGCGGCCTTGAGACTGGTTGATGTAGGCGGGGCAGCTATTGCTGGAGGCGCAGGTTGGGAGAACGTCGGCACAGGAGGAAAACTCTGGTCCCGTCTCTTAGAATCTGAGACGAGCGCAGCAGGTGCCCTGCTGCCTATCGTGGGAGGGAGGGGGGGTGGCCCACTGGTTGGAGGCATGCAGGAAGGGAGTGGTACGCTAGGTGGACGCATATTTGCTGGCGGGAATGGAGGCCGACCGCCTGGAGGAGGTGCATTTATAGGAGTGACTGGAGGAGGCGGAGCTACATTGGGTGGCGGAGGTGGTGGCGCTGCAGTGTTGTCGGGAGGAGGTGGGTTGACCGGTTGAGAGCTGCCGGTGTCAAGAGATGTCCAGCCACCAGTGCGAAACATTGGTGTACCTGCGATGTAAGAAGCTGGAGGCAGGCTAACCACTGGCGGTGGCGGTGGCGGAAGTGGTGCGGAAGGCGCAGAGGAGGACGCATTGGAATCCAAAGATGCCCAACCCGACCGCTTGAAACCAGTCGCAGGCTCAACTGGTGCTGAAACGGTTGCCCAGCCAGCTTTCTTGAAGTTGCTTGATTGAGCTTCAGAGGGAAGCGACGCCTCTGCAGCAGCAGGTGCATGTGCAGGAGGTACAATAGCTGATGTAACTGTAGGTTTGGCCATCTTTATCCCAGCAGCCTTTGCAATTTTGCGAAGCTCCTTTTCTTCTCGCTTGCGCTCTTTCTCCTTACGCTTATCGACATCTTCTTGGGTGGTCATGCGTGTGTTGGCTTGCATATCCCGGAGGCGTGCCTTGTGGTGATGCGCGTACGAGTTTGTATGTTCATCATACTGTGCAACATTCTGGAATTGCTTCTCACAAAGCGAACAGTAGAACGGTTTGAGGGTATCTGAAATTTCCGACTTGAGTGCAGCCCGACGAGCGGCATCGTCCTGAAACAAGATCAGTATGCTCTGTGATATCGTTAGTACGGTTGGGCTCGCCTCTCGTGCTTTTCGTTGATATTCTGTTTCTTTTCGTTGTCGCTCAGAGTCCAACTTGCGCCTTTCGGCAACTGTTGTCTCGATCATTCGAAAATCTTGATTCGTTTTTCCTAGACCAGTCAAATCATTTTTCACATGAAATGGTATAGGATCGACGCGCGCTGCAGTAGAAGGATTAGTGATAGTTCACGATAGGAATGATCAAACGTACCGTCTGCCGATAGTCCCAATGGCTGACCCTCTGACCAACCAAGTTTTGCGAGCATTGCAAAGCCCTTGTTGGTGCTTTTGATCTTGGTCTCGACGGTGATGACCTCCCTTTCTGGACCGCGGACATATTCGTCATATTTTTCAATGTCCATTGCATCGGGTGTAGGTGACGGTGACCTTGAGACTAGCGAGACGCCGTCGTCATCGTCATCATCAACATCTTGGTGAGAACGCTGGGATGGATGCACGGAAGGGCAGTAGGGGTGTTTTATTCGTGCCAGAAAATATGGCAGAGTACCTTCATAGAATTAGTTTGGTTTTGTACAGATTGTGCTTGTTCTTCAGTATCTGTATCAGGTCGAGACATGGGAATTGCATTCCAGCGAGCTATACTCTGAGCAGACATGGTGAGAGAAGTGGCAGACAACAATGAACTCGGACCAAAAATAAAATGCGCCATCAACCGTGTTTCAACAAAATTTTGACCCCTCTATGGGGGGTACATGGAGTCCAAACTACAAGTGCGACACCTTGACACGCTTTCTATGTAAAATTCATGTTCGCGATCTAATTATCAATCTCTATTAAATCTAAGTACTACTACTTGCAAGACGTGCATCGAGCAATGAGTTGAACACTGAAAAGTCATATGAATGATGGTGTCACGTGAGAGCTATAACTTTTCATCATACCGGATGGCAGAGTTCATGGCCTTTCAATGACATTGGCAACACCCTTGTCCGCCCAGTCTTTCGTTAGGCTCCTCAAAGCCCCCACAGATCCACCTAATCCAGAGAGTCCACCAAAAATCCAAATCGCTTGGGCAGCATGGGATGATACTACTATTCACATTCCAAATAAGCACGAGCTCATCGCCGAGTTCATACTCACCCGACTACTCAAAGACAAGTCAAAAACTAGGTGCGTCAGATTATGCAGAGTGCAGCCATTGCTCATGACAACTGATGAATCAGCGACAATCCGGTGATCGATGCGCGGTACTGGTCCCTTCTTCGCAAGGTTTTGGTCATAGATGGACAGCGTAGGGGCAGGTGTACGTGGCCTCAAGGTCTGGCTTGGTTCTCTTCTCAATCGCACACCGCTCGCACCAATAATCATTTCGATCCTTACTCTCCTAAGGGATCTGCCAGTTACAAAAGCGAAAGAGCTCCTTGTGCTCGTACGCCCGTGCTTCTCTGTCTTGTGGCCGTTAAGTGTCCACAAAATTGGCGTGGAGACACTATTAGAGTGCCTTGGCGCCGTACTGAATGTCTCTACTGAGCTGTTTGACGATGTCATTTTGGATGGTATCTGTGAGACAATCGTATCTTCATATAGAGAAGCACTAGGAAATGCGGGGAACAAGAAGAAGGTGCGCAGTGCTATTGATTTTACGTGGCAAGAGAAACCTAAGACGTTTGTAGCTACCTGTGACCTTCCTTCAATCCCATCTCTCATCCTGGATTCATGCAATCTCATCATCATCCCATTTGTCTCCACAGTTGAATAAAGCAGTATACGCCGCAGGAACAGAGACCTTGTTCTCTCTCGATACGCTTCGTGCATCCCCGTCATCTGAGAGCTTATTCACCGCCCTATCTTCTTTGCCGACCTCACCAACCACAATAAATCTCACGATCCCACTCCTACCCCGCCTCTTCAGTACCCATACGAACTTCCTACGGCGATACCGCACCAGTTTGTTTCCCGCTTCTCAGAATAACATACAAAACCGTGAAAACGACATGAGAATGACGTCCATGGCATTCTTCGCATCGTGCCTCAAGTTATTGGCCGGGAACGATCTGAGTTGGGACGCAAGAGTGGATTTGGTCAGCATTATTGAGAGCGAGCGCATTTACGCGAGTCAGCTGTGTGGGAGAGATGGAGGTGGAGGCAGTCAGAGAGGATGCGGTCCGGGTATTGGAGGAAGAAAAAGCGGAGCAAAAGGTGGTAGGTTTGGCTTTGGACGTGCTGGCTGCGCTCGCGACGGTCGACTATGATGTGATTGAACCTGTGGTAGGAAGAATACTTCCTCAGCTGATCTTGGTAAGCTTTACCTCTTCGTTCGTCTTTTTCTGTGAAATCAATGCGTCCGCCGTTCCTGGTGTCTTTTCTTCCAGACTCGCCCATCTCCCTCCATACAAAAATCAGCCAACGTACTTCTTAACATCCTCCTCGACTTTCACTCCAAGACGCGCACGTTACACGCATACACTCATGCACTCTTTGATGCCTGCACCTCCCTTCCTTCCATCAGATCCCTTGCGTCACCACAAGAATTCTACGACCGCGGACGCACCTCTATTATCCTCGCGCACACCCATCTTTCCTCGCTCGCACAAGCGTTCCGCACATTCCTCACACCCACCCAAGTAAAAGAGGCAGCTCAGATTACCCTGACTCTCAAAAATACTTTAATACCTACCAAAACCTTTCCTTGCGGATAAAAACTAGCGAGGTGGAAGACAGACCGCGTAAAAAGCGACGGAAAAGTGAGCCTGCCCCGCCATCTGCGAGTCCAGCGCCCATACAGGCCATGCAGGAAGTAGACGCTTATGCACTTTCACTTTCCCTCACTCTCAAGTTCGCGGCTCTATTCCTGTCGAACCTCCCATTTTCCTTCGTCACCCCCGGGGTCCGCGAGGCTGTACTTGAGGCAAGCGTATGGGCCATCGAGGCCGCTCGCTCGCTTCTTTGTAACAAGACTTCGAAAATATGCTGCGCAGACCAAGTGACAGGTGCTGCACTTCTTCGTTTTGCGTATCATCTACTGGCTTGGAAGTGCGGTGGAGAACTAGGAGATATGGGAGGACTATTGGAGGTTGCCAAGACAGAAGATGGTGCGGAGGGGGAGCTAGTGCTTGAAATTGTGTGTCTTCCTCCTCTCTTTGTTGGAAGGACCTGACTGATTTTTTTAGCTGCGATTTTCTTTGCGTGGTCTTCTAGATCGGACACCGATGTAGTAGTGGAAACTGTATTGGACTTTGCCCTGGCGTATATCGAGGCACACGCGGAGAACACGGACGGATTTATGGTACTCTACCTAATCGTCGAGCGGTGGTTAGATCTTGTAGAGTATGTTATCTCTTTGATCCCTCCTTGTGGTTCTATTGATCGATGTACACCTCAACCGTGCAGTGCCCGAGGATCTAAATCTTCCCTCGATCGCCTGATCAAACTTATATTCTCTATTTCGCCCACGTTTACTCGTCGCGTAGACCTGCAGGGCTTGCAGCCAAAAGATATTCTCTGGGGTGTTTTGCACAATGCGCAGTTCTGGGAGATGGGGAATATACGAAGTAAGATTATTCGTTTCTCTGATTCCTTCATTTTGTCATACTGACATTTACCACTCAATGACGACAGTCTCCGTTCTTGCATACCTCACGTCCCCGCTAAACTCTATGAAAGTTCCTGCGTTGGATCAGCTCAGCAACACTTACTACCTCCTCTTATATGTTCCCCCCGAGTACCTCACTAAACAGGCTCGCGCGGAGCTTGTGCACCGGGCAATGGAGGGGGATGTCACTCTTTCGTCGTTGCTGCATGTGACCACCGGAGAGAAGACAGCGAAGGGCAAACGTAAGCGTGACGAAGGAAGGGACCTAGAAGATGTGAGGCAAACGCTCATGCACATACGTGTATTCCTCCAACGGATGGGGAGACTCGGGTATCTGAACACATCTGATCGCGAAGTATGTTTACATGGGCTTTCTTTAGTTCTGGCTGATGTGCGCTTGTAGAGCGCCAGGGACTACGTGAAGCACCTCATGAGCATGGAGGTTTCAGATAATACGGCGTTGAGAGAGGCCACGATAAATATTGCGGAACTTTATGTTGTGTATGTCTTCCCTCTGTTCTTCTGCAGGGTTACTGACCCCCGAGCAGTGCGCTCCTGCGAGCATCAGATCAAGACCCTTCTGCCTCAGCCGCGTGTGCTTCTATTTTCTGCTCTCTCGCGCAGTCTGGTTCTCTTGATGAAGAGAGCGTTGCCCAGTTGTGTGTCCTCCAGCTTGTTGAGCGTCTCAGACAGGATTTTTCTGTTTTCAGGTGCGTCCATTCTTCATTCCACATAAGCGTAAATTTGCTCTTCTAATGTTGTTGATAGTCTTCCTGGCTTGATAGTTGCATCAATAAAAGAGGTGCATGCTGCACTAACTCCAGTATTACACCCCAACGTCATTGACACGCTCCCCGGGAGCGGGACTATTAAAGCATGGGCGCGCCACCTTTCATTTAGCCATTGGTTAGGCGTTACCGGTGAGCATCCAAGCGTCCTTCATTTCGGTAGTGCTCACTCGTTCTTTTTCAGCTACTTCAACTTCTGAGTACGGCCAACACATCGCAGCCGCCCTTTTGCGAAACAGAGAAAAATGCAAGTTCTCTGCAGAAACCTTGGGACTTCTCTTTGAGGAACTGCGCTGCTTGCCCAACGTCAACCGCAAGACGCATCTTGGTCTAGCAGTAGGGGTGTTTATATTTTCTACGGAAGCTGGTATGTTGTTTGTGTCCATTGGTCGAACTAAGTTGAGGTGAACTTAGGAGACATCAAATCCTTGGATGAAGTCGTCTCAAGCGGATCCAAGCATATTTCAGTCGATGACTTTTCACATCTACTAAACACAGTATATGAAGCACTCGAAAGCATGCGATTTCCTCCGGTTCAATGCGTGCGTCTAGTGCATGCGGCCACTGTTCTGTTGCGTGATGCACCTCAAGGTAGATGAGATAGCTTCAAATACTTCTGAACACCATCCTTATTCTGTCGTAGGGACTTTGAAGGTCGTTCAGTGTTTGTTCAGTCAGTGTCTGAATCTCTTTATCGGACACACACAGTTCTTTGCGGGTCCTGTGGACTTGAAGTTAGCTTGCCTCGAGTTTGTGGCTCGGCAATGTTCAGATAGGGTATGTCGTAAGTATATTCTATCATTAATACTAACTTGACGCTTCATCCCAGCCTGCAGCTCTTCGCCCTGTCGACCCGGGTCCCATCCATGTCCTGCTGTCTAAGATCCTTTCCGGGTCTCCAACACATGACAGTACCACCACACCCGCGGTCTTCCACGCCTCTACCACAATCCTAAACGCACTCGTTCGGCTGCGGCGCGATCTTGTCGTCCACGTTTTGCCACATTTGGGGATGGTTCTCCGCCAACTGGTCTCATGCACTCGTAGCCTACGGCCCCAGCTAGCCGCGAAGCAGAGCCGCATCGTCACCGACACCCTCCCATCGTGGATGGCACCATCTGAGCCACTAGGTGTGTCAGAAGCTCGTGCACTTGCACGGCTCTTCACCTCCTTGACGACAAAGAGTGTCCCCCGCGTGCACATGCAGCCCAGTGCAGAGCAGAAAGCGGAGAGCCTGTCCAAACCGTTCGCCAAGCATGCTGCTTATGTGCTTACTGCGCACATTGACGCTGTGAACGACCCGTTGTGTGTCACACGGGCAGATGTGAGGCGTGAGCTTGAGCCGGGTCTGTTCTCACTGTGCGAGATGATGGGTACGCACAGTCGTGATGCTATTATGGTCAGTGCATTGGATGCAGGTGGGAAGAGCGTGTTGAAGGCACTCTGGAAGGAGTATGAAAAACAGCGGTATATTGGGAAGGGGTAGAGCTCCACATGCATATATACATATTGTCGATCTATCTACTTGCATCGATTCTCTTCACATCTACGTCGGTCTAACGGCCTTGACGTACACATCTCTGAACAAGGTTTTCTTCTTGGGCGGTGCATTCTCGGGTCTCCATCCCGCAGCAGCCTTCTCTTCTTTGAGCGCGCGCAGGAGCTCTAGGAAGTCTTCTATCGCTTGAGGCGATGTCTGAACGTGCATCAGAAGGCGAGACCCATTCAGCTTAATGGGATCAGGAAGTTGTGCAGCCCGCTCGACTACTTCCCAGTATTCAACCCCGATAGGCGAAGGGTCATAGAACAACTGATAGAAGGTCACTATCGTTTTCATGTAGCATCTAACTTTGTCAGGGTACCACCCACCATGCAAGTTTCAGCGGGACTCAAGATACCTACGCCAAGCTCTTCTAAGCCCTGCTGCATCCGCTTTGCAAGGGCGTGCACGTGAGGGAGCATAGGGAAATTGTAAGTGAGTGCGTAGGCAGCGCAGCCAGCCATGTACCCGGTCTGGCGCATACCGCCACCAAAGAGCTTTCGGAACCATCGTGCCTTGGTTATGAATGGCTTTGAGCCAACTAGGATAGTTCCGATGGGAGCACCTACACGATTGGTGAGCATCGTCAATGATAAATTATTGCCGAGCATGTCTTACCAAGTCCTTTGCTGAGACATAAGCTCACAGACTCAAATGGGTCACAGAGTTCTTTCATGGATAATCCGGTTTCTGCTGCAACATGCCAGATGCGGGCACCATCGAGGTGCATGATGATACCCCGACTACGTGCGTTCTTCGAAATTTCAATCACGTCGTCCTGTGGAATGATGGTCCCGTTCAAAGTATTCTCGAGCGCTATGATACGTGTTGGGGCACTTCAGGGGCGATGTCACTGGAGCAGTCAAGCGATATTTGCTTTGGTACTTACACATGGACATCTGTACCAGAGACGATACGAGGTTCAATGTCCTCCCAGGTAAGATGATGTTCTGGTGATGAGCATAAAATAATTCAAAATGTAGGTTCGAATTGGAAAGAGCATACCATTGGCGGGAATGATTGGGATACTGTTGGCACCTGAGTGAAATGCGGCGCCGCCAGCTTCCATGCTAACAGGCGTTGGAGATATATTCCTCGAGTGACGAGCAAACTTACCGGTATATGTGGGCCCGTGCATCTGTAATGACTGAATATGGAGGCTGCTGTAAGTGAGTCCTGATGGCAACTTGATTCGACATCGTGCCCGTGGGTAGAAAGAGGCCTGCTTCTTTTCCGGTGATTTTTGCGACGTGAGTTTCAAGAAAGGCGGTGGATGGCTCGAAATATACATCGTCCCCAAGGGACGCACCGAGAGCATAGGCATTCATCTCCTTGGTCGGCACTAATGACGATAATTTGCCATTAGCGTGAATCCGTGCTACATATCGAGATAGAATACCTGTGATAGTGTCCGCTGTAGATGCTCTGTGAGACTGATCTCACATGCAATGGTGCAAACCACTCACACACAAATGTTCTCGAAATTTCTTGGATCTTGAGGATGTTGTCATCATCTTGAGTCTCGGAATGCACATCGCAAGCGATTTCCTGCGCGAGTTCAGCGAAACGGATGTCTGTCAGGGAAGACATGGGTCGATGAGATATTGGATGATTCAAGTGCTGGCATATTTCTGGTACTTATCCACATATTGTAAGACGGAGCGTTCGGTCCCGCGAAACCAATTCGTTGGAGTGGAGTAAGCACGTGGTGTCAACGCGAATTGGTTCCGCGGGATCAACGCTCCGTCCTTACGATATGTAGAAATATATATAGATGAGCTCGGAGTAAAGATGAAACCTGGCTCATCGAGTCAGCAAATGAGGGACCCGCATCAGGAACACGTCGAGCTACTTAAATTGTGCTTAAAGTGCCTTATTTGCCTTATTTACGAAAATATGAAACTAATTTGGGTCCTCAACTTGAAAATAAGGGACTTTAATCCAGTTTCGTCTATCACATAGGAACATTGAGATCAGACAAGCAATGGTTGGGGACCAAGCGTTAGCTCGGATCGAGCACAGGCTTACATCACATATACTGCAATTGTACCTAGGCATTTAAATTGCTAGTATGCTGGTGATTGTCGAGGACAGTAGGTATCACAATAAATGCATTGAATCATCTAGTGGGTGTGGAGGACCTCGCGGCCCTGATGTACACGTTCCTCATCCCGTTTGAGTTCACTGCTAAAGGAACAATACCCGCCTGGGCCTTCTCCTCCTTCAGGGTTTTGATCAATGACAAGAAGTCTTCCACTGCCTCAGGCGATGTTTGGATATGTATTACGAGACGAGAGCCGGTAAGACCAATGGGGTTCGGCAATGCAGCCGCACGATCTATGATTTCCCAGTACTCGATACCGATTGTGGAGGGATCATAAAAAAGCTATTTCGCGTCGTAAGTTCGTTGGCAGTTTTGAGATCGAGAAACAACCTATGGGACTTACCATGCAAGTCTCTGCGGGACTCAATATACCGACCTGAAGCTCTTCTAAACCAGCTTGCAGGCGTTTTGCTAGAGCGTGAACCCTAGGAAGGAGAGAGAAATTATGGGTGAGTGCGTAAGCGACCGACCCAGCAAGAACACCAGTCTGCCGCATCCCTCCGCCAAAAATCTTCCGGAACCAGCGCGCTTTCTGTATAAATTCCTTGGGACCGACGAGACAAGTCCCCACAGGGGCCCCTGCAGCGAGTCAGTTTCTACTCGTAGGTACTGATGGCGATACTGACCGAGACCCTTGCTGAAGCACAAACTGACTGAGTCAAATGGTGCGCAGAGTTCATCGATCGGTGTCCGAGTTTCAGCGGCGACGTGCCACAGACGTGCACCATCAAGATGCATCAGTATGCCATTCTTGAGGGCAAAATCAGCTATCTCAATTATGTCGCTCTGCGGCATGATCGTGCCATCCAGCGTGTTTTCCAGGCAAATGATTCGCGTCGGTGCGCTGATAAACATTAGAAGAATCCTTGACATGTAAAACCTCCATACCTGTGTATGTCGGTGCCGAACACTACATGAGGTTCGATATCTTTCAGAGTCAAATGGTGTCCTATGTAGATGTTAATAATAGAATATGTAACCCCATAATCATGTGCATGCCATTTTTAGGTGTCAAAGCATTCTGGAGAGCACCTGAGTGTATTGCTGCGCCACCAGCCTCGTACCTAGGGCAAGTCAGCCGCCAGGTTACGATGAATGGAGCAACAGCCTAAACTTATTGATGTGCGCCCGAATATCACAAATGATGGAATTGGGAGGCTGCTGGAGATGCGTGCGGATAGCAAGCTGGTTGCCCATGGTCCCGCTGCTTACAAAGAGAGCAGCCTCCTTCCCTGTGAGCTTAGCAATGTGTGCCTCGAGTGCAATAGTAGATGGCTCGTTGTAGACGTCGTCGCCGAGTGAAGTCTGTATTGCGTATGCAAACATCTCCTTCGTGGGCACTGGACGATGTCCCGTTCATCGGAAGCGATTTGCAATAAAAGCGGAGAACACACCTGTGATAGTATCGGCTACCATTTCTTCAGCCAAATAAAATCCTCACTGTCTATTCGAGCTCACATATGAAACTCCTGGAAACTTCTTCCAGCTGTCTCGCATTGTCGCGCTGTTGAGTAGGAGTGATGATGTCTACTTTCACCTGCTCAATGATCGACGCCAGTTTAGGATCCATGTTGAAGAGAGAGATTGTGGTGTGCGAAAAGAAAGTGACGGTTATGATTGTAAGAATGCCGCAAGCTGGACGGTATTGTGATGCCAAGTTTGAGCAAGAATGACTCGAGTCTGGTTGCAATAACTCCGCTTGGTCCAAAATTTGTTATTATCTGCATATATATATGTCTGTCGGGACTCCGCTTACCAACACTGGTACGAATTAGCCATGAGTTGATGACTATGGTGATTCTAAATAAGGTACACGATAAACGAGATAACGAAATAAGACGGCTTACGTAAAACACGTGTTTGTCCTGTGCAACGTTATCGAGCTCCACTCGCAAAGTTATACCAGTTCTGTTTCGCTTTTCTTTCCTAACTTTTTGTACTAGCTCTCGGTCTCCGTTTTTTCCAGTATTTTAGCTTAATCATGGGGAACGTGGGTTATCTTCAGTTCGCAGGAATGAGTGATCTCGGTTCACTAACAAGCCTCCAGGGCGCTAAAGCTGCACAAAAGCGTGAACGCAATGCTGGAAAAAATGCAGACAAAGGGCCTACAAGTAAGACCAAGGTTAATGAAGCGGCGAAGAATATTGTTTGCCAGACTTGCAGACAGACCTTCGTGAGTCGTTAGTCATAGATTCTGCCTATATCACTCTAATCGATTCTATCATCTCAGCTGCTCACCACCCGTGCACCAGCGTAAGTGTCCTTTTTCATCAAATGAGAATATCGGGAAAAGCGCTTTGTACTGATGGTGTACATGCATGCATTTCAGACTAGAGGAGCACGCCCAGAACAAGCACTCAAAAACACTGGCAGAATGTTTCCCGAACTTTACCAAGTAGGATGCGTCCGATACATGTTTGTCTAATGTGTGGGTGAATGGATGTGCACCAATGCATTACGTTGTAGAACAAGTCGAAACTCTGAAAAAAAGTAAGCGAGGTGAGAAAGAAGGAATCAAGTCACTGACGCACATCATAACTATCCATAAATGACCTTGCACGGTACTTCTCATAGCGAGAAGCTCGTTGACCCCGTGGCCTGTGCACTCGCTCCCGCGCTCTGCATTTTTTCTCCGACCTTCTTGTTAACTTCGAAAAACTTTGCCACACATCTATCAATGCAGACACTCTCGCCCTTATTGAGGTCTCCTTCGGCATAGCGAGGACTGATGCACTTGGTATGACATGAACTACACCACAAGTGAAATAAGTCAAGGCCACCGGAATTGTAAAAAAAAACTGTCACGCACGAAACAATACGGTTAAATACGTCTGAAACCATGTCAATTCTATGGCCTGAGAGTTAGCTGCAACGGATTTGGGTGAAATGGGAGCCAACGCACTCGTTTATGGCCATTTCAATGCGCTCGTGGTTGACACCACCGGCTGGCGAGGGACCACCGCGTCCGAGGAAAGACATATTAGCAAAGAACGAGAAAGCCAAGTGAAATCGAATGTAAGAAGTTTGGAGGACTCAGAAGTTCAAGTAAGTCGCGAAGATGTATAAGGAGCAAAATATGAAGCGTGGCCACGTGGTTGAAAGGATGCCATCCAAGAAAGGCAATGAAGAAAAATGTACGAGTCGTATATCCACTGGAGCCAGACTTTGAAGGAAGACAGAGGCTTGCGCCATGTCAAAACCTCTCGCTGTCCACCGTTGTAGGTTTGTTGACTATGCACCATCACCGATCACGGCTCTTGCATTTCCTCCGCTACCGTTACCATCTCTCAAAGGTAAGAAACGGGAAAGGGATTTAAAAGATAATAAGTTCGGCACACTTGGTGTCGGCCATGCCAATGGCAACATCGACCTTCTCGAATGGACTGCAGAGGAGGGAGAAATACAGGCACCCCAAGCTTGGCAAGTGCGCAAGGTGAGCACTCTGCGTTGTTATTTAATACAGCAATTGAAGTCGTATTTAGACTCTTCCAGGTCCATGCCCATCAAAAGTAGATTCGCTAGCCTTTACTCTACGCTATCCAGACATATTTCCATCAGAAAACATACCTTCGTGCTCTGATCTTCGTCTCTTCAGCTCAGGTGGTGGGTCTGAATTGCTGGAATGGAACATATCTCACAGCTGTGTTCGCGTACGATGCTCTTACTCTGTATAGTCAGCATCAAACTCACATTGGACTATAGAGAACTATTAGCTCCCAAGGAGGTGCCATCTGGAGCATTGCAGCCAATCCTGCCTCGACACTACTTGCCCTGGGTTGCGAAGATGGGTCTGTTCGCCTGCTATCCCTAGCTGCGGATACTTTGCAGCATCATAGGCGATTCGATCGCATAAAAAGTCGTATACTGAGCATCGCTTGGGGCCCGCCAGCACCTCGACCGCCAAAACAGCGGACGGCAAAGAAGACTGACAGTGGCATGGATAGTGATGAGGACAGCGATGACGATGAAGACGAATGGACAGACACATGGCTCGTCACGGGTGGCTCAGATAGCAGCTTGCGGAAGTGGGATGTCGCTACTGGTAGATCGACTGACCGTATGGGGACAGACAAGATGAAAGGTGAACGGACACTTGTCTGGACAGTTGGCGTGCTTGCGTGAGTGCACGCGCAAGATATTTCAGTTTTTCAACCTAACAAATTTGACATAGCGATGGGACCATTGTTTCTGGGGATTCTTTAGGTACAGTGAAGTTCTGGGACTCTATGACTTGCACGCAAACCTGCAGCTATCTGGCGCACGGAGCTGATGTGCTTTGTCTTGCAATTGGTCCCGTAAGTGTCCAATGTGATACTCTTCTGTGGCTAAACTTACCGTATTCCAGGAGGGCACATCCGTATTCAGCTCGGGTGTCGACCAAAAAATCGTGTTGTTCTCATATGTTCCCACTGCTCCAGAAAATTCTTCTTCTGTGTTGTCCTCCTCCCCAGCGCGATGGATTCAGTCTGGCTCACGTCGTGTGCACTCACACGACGTCCGGTGTCTTGCGGTCTGGCCACCTCACTCCCCCATACCCCCAACTTACAAGCGAAAGCCCTCCACAAATGCAATATACATCGCACCGGTCCTAGCTTCTGGAGGACTGGACATGTCTATTGCCCTCACTCCTGCGCTGCCAGCCAGCATGACTTCATCTTCCATTGCCCCTCGCGTTGTCAACCCTCTCACCACAAGAGCCACCACGACTTTCGAGGATTCATACTATCGTCGCATCGCATACACCGCAGCGATGTGTGTTTCTCGCAGAGCACGCCTTGTGGTAAGCATCCATGAGACAGGCGTCAATATATGGCGAGTTCTATGCATTCCAGACTCGGATGTAATCGTGAATGGCGTCGATCCTTCGACTGATCCTGAAACGCGGACCTCTTGGGAAAAAGTGCTCGAGATGGATCTCAACGTACGCACGAATCTTATCGCCAGTGCGTTGTCCGATGATGGGCGTTGGCTTGTCGTGTCCGACCTGTACGAGGCCAAGCTTTTCCAGCTCAGCTTCAATGTGAGTAGTACAGACATCAAATCTGTAGATGTTTTGCCTAATTTATCTTACTTCAGCCTGCTGGTGTCCTCAAATCGAGCCGGGTGCGGACATTTGCATCAATATTGGAGAATCGAATCACTGCCCAGAGCTCTCAGAATCCTGTCTCAACTGGTGGATCATCATTTACATTCACCCCAGACTCTTCAAAATTGATCATGGCCTCTGCAATAACGTCGCTCATTCTCGTTATCGATCTCAGCTTGGAAGCGCCCACCATACTTCGGACATTCAACCAACATTGCAACGCTGGGTCGATCACAAGCGGTAGAATGGTGCGAGGAATTAATAGAGGGACCTCAGACGAGGACGTACAGTCGGTTGGTGGTATAGATTCCGTCACTATCATGAAGATGGCAGTGAGTCCCGACGGCCAATGGTTGGCCACATCCGACGACCTTTGCCGAATATTCATCTTCAATCTCGATTCCATACAAGTGAGTGTGATCCATCACCAAGATGTAGTGCGGAGCTGATTTGTGCTAGTACCATACTACTTTGCCGTCACTTCCTCTCCCACCCAACGTCCTAGTTTTCCTCCCCGACAACCCGCAAATTCTCCTTGCCTGTTCTTCCCAACAATACAATCCACATCTTTCACGTAGAACACGGTGAAGTACCAACATGGGGACGGGAGTTCAACTCTCGTCTTCCCAAGCAGTTCCTCAGCGCCCCAGATCCAGTCATTGGGGTCGCATTTGAACCCCTTCCTTTGTCAGATGGGGAGATGACGGGTATCGCACCTTCCTCAACCAAGCCCAAAGAGGCTATCTTTTGGGGGTCTTCATGGCTTTGCAAGCTAGAATTAGATTGGGAAGGCAAGTACACTGGCCAGTCACGGAAACGCCGCAGGCAGACCGGCTCGGTAGCAGTAGGAGAGATGGCTAGTGAAAGGAAGTTGCGGATGGTGACAAATTATCGCCCCATCTTGGCACTCGATTTCCTTGGGCCTGGGGAACTGGTGTTGGTGGAACGGCCGCTGGCAGATGTGCTGTCAAAATTGCCCCCTGCATTCTTCAAGCCAAAATATGGGCAGACTTAAAATCCAGTACATCTGGCGATGCTTGTACCCTAAAATTTCCCCTAAGCGGGATATGCTGCAATATGCAATGGATAGTATGGGAACGTGTGCGACTACATGTAAAAGCATCTCTGAAATATAACAAGGAGCAGGTAAAGACAACATTGGGTTAGATATGAAGATGGTAATGAGATCTATGAGCTACAACGTGTATGTGATATTACCTGGGCTTTACCGATAACCAGTTTGAAGAAAGAAAAAGTCGTCTAACAGACTGTTGCTTGCAGTGCTGCCTCTCTATCTTGCCTTTCGTCCTCCCTGTGAAGTTGAAGTTACCAATCGAACCATCGGACGTGCATAGATGGTGGCTACTCACTTGGCATTCAACATGGACAAGTACAATGTCCAGAAAACACCACAGGTGGACTGGAAAGGTATTCTATATGGCAGTGGCATGTATCGGAAATTAATCATCTATGAAAAACTAAGTTCAACATCAATGAACAGTTACTAGTGTTCTTGAACTTACTTGTGCTATAGGCCAAACCTTCCAGTTGGTTAGAAGAGCGGGAGCAAAAATGTCAGTGTATTTTTGGTGTATTTGCCTGGGACTTCGACATTCCATTACACCCATAGAGCCTATAAACATCACGAGCTAGAACACGTATGAGCCCACGTTCAAGGTAGTGATCAAGAATCTGATTCTTACCCCAATCGGTGCCCTAGCGACCGAGGCATCAGTCTATGACAGTATTAAATAATGAAAGTCTCACATTATTAGTTGGTCGGCAGCTACACGTTTGGAAAGAGCTCTGAAACTGATGGGCTGAATTCTCCATGCTCGGAGAGGAAATCGTCTCTCTAGGAACAAATTCCACCTCCCGAGTAGAGGGCCTCGCAAGCAGATGATTCAAGGTTTACTCCGAAAATCAAGTTGCCCATGACTTACTCATGCCGCTTCCAAGACAAAAGAAACGCAGTGTACGTGCGGGATCCCAGCCGGGTCTGGGTTCATGATCTTTAACGAGCTAGGGGTTTATGAGTTGCCGGAAAATGAGGTAGAAAAATGAGTATACCCACAATATTTTGCGAAATCTGAGCAACGATGTCACCGAGAGCATTCAAGGTTCCACCAGTGACAGCGAGAGTGTAATTCGGGTAAGTATGGTACGCATACTGATAGGCACGGGCGATAGTGAGAGTGGCCATACAAGAAAACAGAAGGGAGCGCGGCTGAGAAGAACAAGAATTTGGATGGTAGTGGTTATGAGACAAGCTCTAAGTAAGGTCGACGATGGTGCTCTCTCCACTCATTTTCGTTCCACAACGGTGACGCAAATCAAATTGTGTTCCAGAAGTTTCCCTTTTCTTGACAGATGGAGCGGGTGGCTGTGACACTTTTTAGCAGAAAATCAAATCACGTGACATAGTCGCGTCTGTTATGCACTTGTTTGTTTGGGTCAACCGCCCGCGCAGACGCATAAATACCCGCCGTATACATTCCATCTCGCCTATCCCCTCTCTATCGCCAACCTCCACCACCTTTTCCCGTTCATCGTCTTACATTCTACCCGCTTCCCCTAACTATCATGCATTTCTACAGTACCATTATCGCTCTCACCGCTCTCGCTGCCAGCGTCAGAGCCCTACCACCTCGCAGAGTCACGTCGCGCAATGCAATCGGTAACGTCATGACAGGTACAGGCGGGCTAGCACCTGGCGGGTCGATCAACGGTGCAAGCGAAAACTGCACAGACCCCTCAGTAGGCTTGTCGTCGGGGTTGGGGTTGGGGTGCTTACTAGGTGGTGGCAGTGTCGTAAACATCGGATCAAGTAAGGGAGGCGCTCACCCTAGTATCCCGCCACCTGACCCACTATCTAGACAACGCCGGAGCAGGAGGGGTAGGAAGTTCAGGTTCAGCAGCCATTCAAAGGGTTGGGTCAAAAAAGTTTAGAACATCAAAGTTCAAGGGCATGAAGGGCGTCCCCGCAGGGAACGTGTCCACTGGAAATGGTGGACTAGCATCAGGTGGATCAGTTAACGGTGTCCCCGACGGTCTCATCAACATTGGCTCAAGTAAGGTCCACTGCATCTTGGTCGGCGGCACTGAGATCTGACACGTTTTGTGCCTCTATAGATAATGCAGGAAATGGCGGGACGGGAACGAGCGGTGACGTACTGTGAGCGGTGAACAGTGGGAGGAAATCTCCACAACCTAGACTTACGAAGCATAGACAGCATGCACACGGACTACTCATTTGTACTATATCGCACTATACTATCCTCACATTGAAACGGACACCTGGTTGACTGGGCGATACAGGCGTACAATTTGGATGGGCGTCTTGTACAGCGTGTAAATAAGAAGCCCGTCGGAACTACAAGAGCTTCAGGTGGCCTGTCACCTGATTGATGAGATCTATGGGCGCTGCAAAGAATCTCAGTGTGATTACCATGACGAGCAACTTATCCTACCAGGACCAATACCAAGAACAGTGCGGGAACCTGCCGCGATCTGTGTACGACCACTGTATTAAGAAGAAGGGTCAGCGACCACGCATGATGATGTATATCTGAAAGCAATACTTACGCGTCCAGTATTGATCGAGCGCAGAGATTGAGACTCTTGGAAACCGCTTCGAGTTCAAGGAGCTCGTCCTCCGACGAACACTTGAGAGCAATTTTAGCTTGACTGGGTTACAGTGTTCAACAAGTGAAAGGCAAGTGAGTTTTTCCAACACATACCCAGTCTTCTCCCAATGTTGTACGAGCTATAGACAACTCAATGACCAGGTTGAAAGAATAAACATTTGAAGCATACCGCAGTATTTGTCCTCGATAATGCCTTGTAGCATGCTAGTGTTGCGTGTCTGAAAGTCGTCGCGCCATCCAGTATAGTCTGTCCCCCGTCAGATCACAAGCACTCACCCACACCTAAACAGTCTTTCTTAATTGACCCGAGGATAAACGTATGGTACTTACTGTGCAGCTATCTTTCCAGTGGTCATTTTGAGATCCGTTCGCACGACTAGGACCTTCAGAGGTTGAAGTCAGCAAGTGAAGTATCAATTGGACGCCAGCTCATACCAATTTGCAAGGTTGCATAAAGCCTGCTTTGACCGCACTAAGATCTCCGTCTGCGAGCGCATCATCCTCTTCTTCACTATCTACCTCCGGTTCAGCCTTGGGTGGTTCCTTATCCTTTAGCTCCGACGGCGGTATAGGTTGAGCGGCAGGTGCGGAGTCTTGGGTGCCTATTCGTGACCCAAGATAGTAGCCCAACCCTAGGGCAGCTCCTGCGACCACCACATGTGATAGTGCTATAATGATGCGGTTACAGTATAAGTTTCTAATGTCTTATGTCCAATTACTTACCTGACGGAGACATTGATATCACAGAGAGGTCGGAGTTTGCCGAGAATAGCTTTTTTGAAATCTTTGATCGACTACACATATCGCTTAGGTTCTAGGTCTCTTCCCGTTTTTATATCCAACAAAACTATCACACTCAAACTTTCGAACGTCTACTCACTGGCATCAGTGAATTACAGATATGGTAGGGGACTCTACCGCACCATCTGCGGATCCTCAGCAAGATGTCTCTAGCCGCGAACCGTTCTCATCACTTGAGCTCTCAGAGCCAACAAACAAAGCCCTCGCAGATATGGGCTTTACCACAATGACTCCCGTACAAGCCAAAGCTATACCCCCACTCCTCGCAGGAAAAGATGTTTTAGGTGCTGCTCGTACAGGATCAGGAAAGACACTCGCATTTCTCATACCTGCGGTTGAGCTCCTGCATCGGATGAAGTTCAAACCTAGAAATGGTGCGCCCTGCTTTCACTTTATCCTATCAGGAAGCTGAATAATTATTTATGATAGGTACTGGAATTATCATCGTTTCTCCCACACGAGAACTGGCGCTGCAAATTTTCGGGGTTGCAAAAGATCTCATGGCACATCATTCGCAGACCTTTGGTATTGTTATCGGTGGTGCAAATAGGAGGGCCGAGGCGGAGAAGTTGGAGAAAGGTGTTAATTTGATTGTTGCAACCCCTGGTCGGCTGTTGGATCACCTCGAGGTGCGTCTTCAAAACCTTGCAGACACTACTGATGTATTGACTTTGTTTCTGTAGAATACAAAAGGGTTCGTTTTCCGAAATCTTAAAGCCTTGGTGATAGACGAGGCGGATCGAATATTGGAGATCGGTTTCGAAGAGGAAATGAAGAAGATAATAAAAATTCTTCCAAATGGTTTGGTCATTTAACACCCTACCCCTTTGGCAAGGAACTGAATTGCAGTATAGACAGGCCGACAGTCCATGCTCTTCTCGGCCACTCAGACCACAAAAGTCCAAGACCTTGCACGAATATCTCTTCGTCCTGGGCCTCTGCACGTCGATGTCGACAAAGAAGAGGCAACAAGCACTGTCTCAACACTTTCACAAGGATATGTTGTTTGTCCCTCTGACCGCCGCTTCCTCCTTCTCTTTACTTTCCTCAAAAAGAACCTGAAGAAGAAAGTCATTGTGTTCTTCTCGAGTTGCAATTCCGTCAAATATCACGGCGAGCTGCTAAATTACATTGATGTGCCTGTGCTCGATTTACATGTATACTTCAAACCATCTATATTTTCCCGTCATAAGCTGACGCAGTACATCACAGGGCAAGCAAAAACAACAAAAACGGACAAACACATTCTTCGAGTTCATAAATGCTGAGTCTGGAATTTTACTATGCACGGACGTCGCAGCCCGCGGCCTCGATATTCCACGGGTAGACTGGATCGTCCAGTTTGATCCCCCAGACGACCCACGGGACTACATTCACCGTGTGGGCCGAACTGCGCGTGCTGGCAAGGTTGGGAAGAGCTTGATGTTCCTGCTAGAGAGTGAACTTGGTTTCCTGCGGTACCTCAAGGAAGCAAAGGTTCCGCTGAATGAATTTACATTCCCCGCGGACCGGGTTGCGAATGTACAGAGTCAGGTGGGCGCTCATAGGCATTGCGATATGAATGAATTATTCATGTTTGTATATAGCTGGAGAAACTTTTGCAAAACAACTACTTTTTGCACCAATCGGCAAGGGACGGTTTCCGGTCGTATCTGCAAGCATATGCATCGTATTCACTGAAGAAGATATTTGACATTAATGCACTGGACCTTGCAAAAGTGGGGAAAGCGTTCGGGTTCGCTGTTCCCCCACGCGTAAATGTCAATATTGGTGGGGGGAAACCTACTGCTACTGGTAAAAAGCGGCAGAGAAATGAGGTGGATGCGGATGACGAGGAGTGGGAGGACATGCCATTGGGTGGTGGTGCAGAAAGCGCAGATGAGGTCATGGAAGAGGCGGAATCCCAGCGGAACAAGGCGCGGAGAAAGGGAAAAGAATGGCGGGTGGAGACTTTAGGCAAGAAAGCAGTCGAAAAGGAGATGTATCGGAAAGGAAAGGAACGGAAGAGAGCAAAAGCGTCTGGACAACAGTGGAGCGGGTGATTTTTGAGAGGGTTCATGACGACGCTACTATATGTCTACTACTCTGTCTATTTGTTTTTTGCATCGGCATGATATTCTAGCCATCGGGATGCTAACTTGAAGTACTGGATCGGAAACCGGAAGCACCTTAAGCGCCTGCATTGCGTAAAGGAGCATGTTTGCGCCTGCCCTAAATTGACCACCAGGCGTAAGCCTGACATCTCCAACCACACTCATCTGCTGCCAGCTCAAAATTTCTTCTTCAACCACTCCTTTCACTCACTCAGTGATCTACCTCAAGTATAATGGCAACTACGCAGGTCAGTTTTTTCATTTGACGAAAAACTGTTCTGACGACGTCGGCTTGTCGCACTCCGCTTCCGTCGTTTAACTCACATACAAACTCAATAGCACTATCTCTGGGCGGGTGGACACTTCTTGCTCCTTCTCTCAGGGTTTCGTTATCTTTTAGCATGGATCATGTTCAAGAGCGTCTCGTCCTGGTGGTACAAGGGTGCGCAGCTCATTCCTCAACTCTCAAAGGTTTATTCTTACCAACCCCTCTGTGATTCTTACAGCTAGCTTCCTTGGCGCCCTAATGTCCTATTTCATTGTTTGCCAGTGAGTGCTTTCCGCGTGCCAACCAACGTGATGATCGCGTGTTGATGTGGATGCTGCGTGTCCAGGAAGGCGCTTGGTGTGAGTTTATGACGTAACACATGTAAAGCGTGTTTTTCTGAGACATGTTTGTAGACTCCCCAGCCGAGCATGGCGTATGTCAGACGGGCCCTCGCGGATGAGGTAGGTTATCTGATTTCTCCTTTTGACCTCCTGAGGATAACCGATGGACACAGAACGTGCAATACTTTTTGTTGGCTATCTTCTGGTGGACTTCCAGGCCGATCACCTGTAGGTTTTATCGTTGGAGTCAGCACAGGTACTGATGTAACGCAGTCGCATTGTTACCTTACTTTGTGTTTTCCCTTTTCCATGCGCTGACGTTCACTCGTACGACCTTGATGCCTCAATTCTTGCCTCCTGGTCCACCGCTCGCTGCTGGAGGCCCACCTCAACCTCATCCCCTGGCGAAGAAGCTCCACCTTTGGGTCAAGGGTAAGATTCCAAGTTTATTCAGTCAACTTCGCGAGTGACACGTCATCCAGCCAACTATGACACTGCCATGCGCGTCGTGGCCATTACCGAACTCGTCATCTTTGCGCGTGTTGTTTTTGGCGCGCTTTTGTTCCGCAACTCGCTCATGATGCCACTGGTCTTTGCCAACTTCCTCCATCAGCGTTACTTCCACTCGCAATTCACGCGTGATGCAGTTACGCTTGCGGACAAACGTATCACGGATCTCTCGAATCACCCTTCGCTTCCACCAGTGGTGGGTCAAGTGTGGATGCGCGCGAGAGAGCTGGTTGCCAGGTGGGGCGGCAGTGCCGTCATTGAGCCTGCTGCTGCCAGGAGGGATTAGTGATGAGGACGTGAACGTGGATGAGAAATGTTGGGTTTTTGGGAAAGGACATGTGGAAGCTCGTCGAGGCATTTCCCATTTACTACACATATGCAATGGCTCTCTATCGTCTTTTTTGCACTAACGTATAATGATAGATTATTATTAGCAAGGCTTCTGATCAGGCTCTTGGCAATGACGCTGATGACCACTACTCCACTGAATAAAAAGGGGTCCAGGGCGAGAATCAGTCTAATTCCAACTTGTCCATCACGCGCTACTTATGGCGACGATTATTACTGCGTTGACGAACTTTGGGCAGTCTTTGGCTGCTATTGGGCTGTCCTTGTTGTATTCTGTGCTAGCTGTGTTCCAAGCTGCCTTCGCGCTTGTTCAAAGCATGATCGAGAGTATACTGAAGCTGGGACAGAGCATCACTACTCTGGTGCTGGAGTTGTTCCAGGGAATGTTCGGGTTCGTTCTCGGTAGGTCATGCTCCTGGACCTTTGCAGTGATGTTCTCAACATGTAACTGATACGCTTTTACTAGCAAACTTCACCGCAATTTTCCTCATTGGTGCAGTGTACTACTTATACAAGCTCAGACAGCAGGGAAAGGGACCCGAGGTGTTGCAGAAGAGGTTCTGACTTGTCATAACTCCATCGGTACTAATCAAAGAGAATACCGGGTTCTCAGGCTGTACGACCACATGCATATGTTGCCCCAACCTTAACTCATTTTAACATGACCACGAGCCATGGCGACGATGACTGTTATGAAACTTGTGGCAATCCTGAGCAAATCCTGAGCGGCACATCTTTACCCTTACGTTCGAAAGTGTATTGAAGCTGGGCAATACCCTGGTACTGGAGCTATGTCAGAGACCTCGTTTGACTTTGCAAAACAGCCGCATGTTGAAACGTTGATGCATAGGGACTAGTGTTGCCAGTGGTAGACGAGAAAATGGAGTCACTATCCAGTGGTCTCACCAATATTCATCATGATATGTAGTACACTTGGAATGCCGCCATCAAAGGGGCGAGCCTATGATATAACTGCACTGCCACTGTAACCAAACATGAGCAAAGTCCGAATATTGCCTTCTGGCCAGAAGATTGAGAAGGATCAAACACAGGCAGCGCGAGCGACGTCGACGACAACGGCAAGAGATTAAATCTGCAGTGACGGCGACTGTTGTCAACGGCGTTCAATTGGTTCTCAATACAATTCATGTCTCGCATTCCTGTCCCGTCATCTCACTCACCGTCCGCTAACAGAGCTCCCCGTCACGATTCTCCTTCTCCAGTCCCACCAGCACCCAAATACCCTTCATCAGCATCAATGTCTAATTTATCTGGTGTCTCACCGTCTGTCGCTGACTACGCGAAGAAAGCAGTCCAAACGCGACGAGGTGAGCATTCTTTCCGCTTTTCGGCTTCCGGACGCGTGGTTTTGTTTACGGTACCCGTCGGTACACTTCTTCGTACACGTGTACACACTCCTTCGATGAGCTCCTTATCACCTCTTTACCAAGGGCGCGCCCACTCTGTTTCAAACACTATATCCCACCGCCGCACGCCCGTTCCGTACTGTTTCAGTCGCTAACCCTCCTTCACAGGCCATCCGGAAGAAAATAGAATCAGAGCTTGCCCGAAAACGTACTATCTCTACAACGCATCATGCAGGTGGCCGCGGAAAACGTGCTACAAAACCTGCTATTGCGAAAGGCACGGTTGCTGCACTGAAGCCCAGCCCTGCACTCACCGTTCCCGATAATATTACTGTTGCAGAGGCCAGTCAACTATGCGCAGCGAAACGGACAGATTGCGTCCTTGTTGTAGACGATGAAGAGGGACTCAGTGGTATTTTTACCGCTAAGGATCTGGCATACAGAGCATGTCGTTCACCGTTCTCCACTTGACAGTCAGCCCTGACAATTACAGGTTACTGCTGATGGTCTCGACCCTCATACCACGCCGGTCAGTCAGATCATGACCCGGAACCCAATGGTCACCCGGGATACCACCAGCGCGACCGAGGCCCTCCAGCTTATGGTTCAACGTCATTTCCGTCACCTGGTATGATTTTACTTGATTCTTCGAACATGAGTGGTATTAATGTAAATGCTAGCCTGTTTGCAATGAAGAAGGCAATGTCGTTGGATTGCTTGATATTACCAAGGTCTTCCATGAAGCACTGAACAAGGTCGAGCGTTCCTCCTCTGCATCCGAGAAACTCTACACTGCTCTTGCGGGCGTACAATCCGAACTTGGCCCAGGAATGGCTTCAAACCCACAGGCTGCTGCCATGCTTGCTTATGTCGACGCCCTCCGCGAGAAAACCGCATTGCCAGATCTCACGACTGTCATGGATTCGCGGACGCAACCTGCAACTGTCACTCCAAAAACAACTGTCCGTGAGGTGGCCAAGCTGATGAAGGAGCGTCGTGTCACTGCTGTCTGTGTCATGGAAAATACGCCAGGTGTCGGTGATTCCTATTCCAAGATCGCCGGTATCTTCACAAGCAAGGACATTGTCCTGCGGGTCATCGCTGCGGGTCTGGATGCAGGCATATGTAGTGTTATCCGTGTAATGACCCCTCATCCTGACACCGCTCCTCCTACCACGAGCGTACACGACGCACTTAAGAAGATGCATAGTGAGTGTTCTGGTGTTTAGTGTTACCTGTGCTGAACGTGCCGCCAGACGGTCACTATTTGAACTTGCCTGTTGTCGAGAGCGACGGACGGTTAGTCGCCATTGTTGATGTTCTGAAGCTCACATACGCCACCCTGGAGCAGGTAGGTAAAATCTATTCGTAGGTTCATCTGTGCTAATTCAATCTCAGATGAATGCCATGAGCACGGAAAATTCTGGTGAATCTGTGGAAGCCGAAGGCGGACCAATGTGGGGCCGTTTCTTCGACTCTATTGGTGGTCACGACGACACTGAGTCCGTCATCTCTGGTTCGCATGTCCCCACCGACGGCCCTTCTCTCTCTACGCATAACATCGCTCGCCTCCAGCAGTCCCCACACTCCGAAGTGCACCCGAACGACTCCGCCTCCGTGGTCGACGAGGAGCACGAGTCTGTTCTCGAGGGCTATTCGCGAAAGCGCAAGGGTGCGATTCCAGCTATCACAGGCGCGACTTCCAACGTGCCAATAGACGATGGAACGTACGTCTTCAAATTCCGCACGCCAAGTGGGCGCACCCACCGGTTCCAGGCGCGACATGACAGTGTCGAGATGCTGCGCGAGATCGTGCAAGGCAAGCTTGCGACGGACCCGTTCTTCACCGAATTCGCAGGCTCACCTACTGAGCGGCCCGACCCTGAAGATTTCACGTTATCGTACACAGATGCGGACGAGGACACAGTGCTCATCACGAGCGACACGGATATTGCGGATGCAGTGAAGATCGCGCGGTCGGCGGGCTCGGATCGGGTTGTGCTATTCATCCAGGGCGGGAAGCACTGGATCGGAGCTGGCGCAGAGAAGAGCGAGGCAAAGGCCGCGGAGGTGAATGCAGCTGCGAAGGAGGAAGAGAGGGAAGTCGAGAAGGCAGAGGCTGTGGCAATCCCCGAACCTGTTGTAACTCCCCCTGCAAAGGCATACACACCACCGCAGGAGGAGCTGGTGATGGGCATCCCGAAGGATTTGTTACTCCCTGCTAGTATTGGTGCACTTGCTGTCGTCATCATTGCGGTGTTCACCATCTCAAGATTGGCACATGATTGAAGAGTTAAGTACGGAGAAGGTCTCCCGTGTTCATCGATGCCTTTTCAACCGTAAGAAACTCGTTAGACTGTTCGTGAATTATGTATACAGGGACAGAACTTGTTGTTAAACCTGTCATTCACTCTTTTGCGTATACGACTTGTTTATGAATTTATCACGAATTTTGCGAATGAAGTCACTTGCATGTCAATATGCCTGCTTGTCCATCTGTTTGCTGGAATAACTCATTTCATCTCGCTACAGACTATATATACATGGTCATACAACGAGTTGAAAGTACAGTTGCAGTTGTTCAAATGTCTCACAAGGAAATTGCAATGAACCAGGATATGAACGTGAGCTATCTAACTGGTCTTAATTTTATTTTTAGATCGTGCCACTGTATCCACCAGTCGAAAGGGAAGGAGGCAGAGCGTCAGATCCTTCTCCACAAGTGGTATTGATATCGCTTGTGAGCTCAAGCTCGACGGTGGAGCCTTTGACGAAGACATCCCAGTCTAGGTAACAATTTGAATGCCATGACTGGCCATCGACAGTCACGCTCTGCAGCAGTTCGTTTTCATTAAGAGAAAGTTAAAAATACGGGATTGAACTGTAACTGACCTTGACGAAGACAGTTCCGCCAATGCCATCCTGAGGATTGCCCGTGAAATTATTGGCAATGATCGTTGTCGTGGTATTGAAAAGCGGGTTATGAAATGTGACCTTTGGGAAATAGGGTGAAGCGAGAAGAAATTGGCGTGTTGCGGGAAGCGGGTACATGCCCAAGAGGTAGAAAACGGCAAAGCTGGCCATGGCACCTGAGCAAGCATTAGACAACGTCTACTGAAGCTTTTTCAAGACTTGCCAGAATCATCGTTACCCGGAAGACCGCTGACCGAGGTGTTGTAAGACTCAGCAATTATCATCCGGGAACGTTGGGTACTGAGGCCAGGCCGATTGGCGTAGTGGTACATGAAAGGAATTTGCTGAGATGGTTCATCTGTAACATCGAAGTAGTTCTGGATCTAATTCAATTTCCAAGCGTCATTTGCAGTTGAGGTATTCACCTGGTCGAAGATCAAGTTAAGTCGGTTTATGAACGACTCGTTGCCTCCCTGCAACAAGATCAGCTTGGCTGTGTCTTGAGGAATGTACTAGGGATAGTTTGTCAATGAACTTGGTAAGATATATTCGTGATACACACTTGAGAATACTGAGAGCAAAAAACTGTTAGATGAAATTAACCACGGAATCTAGTAAAGATACATACCACCATTGGAGATGACTCATAGAAGCCATCGTGGTTTGTAACATCGAGGTAACAGGTTGAGTCGAGAAGATCATTTACGCTGCAATGCCGAGGGTCAGTGTAATTCCACTGCCCATCTGCGAAGCGAGGCTAGAAATCAGTGAGTTTGATACTGCGTTGACAATGTTACGGGCGAGAGTGATTTGCCTGCATCATGCCCTTGATCGAAGAATTCCCGGGAAGTGTAACCTTCTCATTCCAGACATTGATGAAGTTTCCCGCTCGAGCTTGGTACTACAATCGCAAAACTAACGTTCTGGTTTCACGCACATGAAGAATGGCAAACCTTGGCTACATCATCCGTATTGTTGAGAATCTTTGCAACTTGCGAGATGGAAAAGTCACCGAATGAATACTAACCAAAGTAAGCAAGAATGAAATCGCAGATTGGACACGCTCCTACCTCTAATGTGCGTGAGACTTGCTTGGTGGCGGTACCTCCCGAGTCATAAACGTCGGAAGGGATGAAGTCTGGAATGATGATCGTGATAAGGTACATGATGGATATTGATTGCTAACTGTATTGTTTCCAGACAGTCGTTTGTCTTCCTTGGAGATTCCAGTTGGGCGGTTGTTCTTCCGCGTCAGCAAGAAGGGCAGTGTACAGATCATTAGCTGAGACATTCAGAGCACTAGCATGTTCATGAAATCTACGACAGCAGTCAGTGACCATACAACACTGGGTTTTACGCTCGCTGACTTGACAAAGAATTCCCCGAGAATAGGGTCACCGTCTGTGGCCATGTTTTAGAGACGAACCATGCAAACTGGTTTGAGAACTTACTGCTTCCACCTTGGATCCACTGCTGAAGAGTAGCGCCGCGGCACTCAGGCAACCAACCTATTATGAATGAGTTGTATACATTACTTCACAGTACAGTTGTCTACCTTCATGCTGTTGAATGTTGATCATTCCACGAACGATGCGGGCGAATACCTCGGGGTCATGAAGCGACATTAGGGGATACAGGGTACGGTAAGTATCCCACTGCACTCGAGGCGTTAATAATATGCTAACAATGCCACCAAAAGATACCA